ATATGGGATGGAAAAGCAATCACCGATTCCTGTAAAACATATTATTTTGTTTTTATCATTTTGCTTTGAGAAAGGTCTGTCACCTAAGTCAATCACAACGTACTTGGCAGGGATCAATTTTTACCATAAACTTAATGGTTTTTACGACATAAAGGAAGTTTTTATCATCAGAAAATTATTAGAAGGCTGCCATAGAAGTAGAATCTCGCTTGACAACCGTGCTCCTATAACTCTATCAGTTTTAGTTAACATCTGCATTGATTTTTGTCTTTGAGGTAAATTTTTTTACATTGATTTTTGTCCTTGCACATTTTGGTCTATTCCGTGTGAGTGAATTGGTGGCGATTGCATTAAGCACGAGATTTCTTTACAGGAAAATTATGTGTCTTTTTCACCTAACAACAATTATTTAACTTGACTTAGGCAATTTAAACTAATCAGAGAGGTAAACCACTTTTCTTGAAATTACCAAGACATACTTCACTTCCTTGCCATGCAGAGGCGCTAGATAACTATTTAGTATGTAGGCCGAATATACAAGGTTCATTGTTTTGTCACAAAAATGGTGCGGTCGTTACTAGGTCTTTGTTTTCATCAGTTTTATCAAACTCTATCCGTTTTAATTCTATGCTCGTGGCACTGTATAAAAGTCATAGTTTTAGAACTGGTACAGCTTTTGATCTTGCATCCTTAAGTTATTCAGCGAAAACAATTAAACAGTTAGGACGCTGGAATTCTGGGTGTTTCAATAACTACATTCGAGTATAAGCCTTTTTAATAAGACATAATTAGCTGTATCTCAAAGGCACTTTTTAACACTGTTCATGTCAAATTATTTTTTTTTCTGGTCTATTTATATTTAGATGTTTGGATTCTGGGGGATTCAATCCCATACTGGGCCGGGAATTATGCAAAGAATGCGGCTAAGGAGAATTTGGGCTTGAAGGATGTGTCCATTGCCTGGTGGGCAGAGAGAGGCCTCAGATGGGTGGTTTTAGACGCCTAATAGAAATGCATGTGTTGTTTTCTTCTCCACCTTCTATTATTTTTATTCATTTAGGTGGTAACGACCTTGTGTCGGTCAATACAGTACAACTAAGACTTTTAATTGAACAAGAAATAACATATTTAAGGGAAGCCTTTCCTCATACTGTGATAATCTGGGTTGATATTTTACAACGTCAAAATTGGTCAGGTGCTATTAGGGGATATCGACCTATCGAAATGAAAAGAAAACGCCTTAATCGTCTAGCCAGAAAAATTGTTACGTCATCAGGCTTAAGTGATATCATTATACCTGATATTGATGCGGCCACGGCCTTTTTTCGAGATGATGGCGTACATCTCAATACAGTAGGTTTGGAATTCTATCTAGATTATATCAAGGATGCTATTGTCAAGCATTTAGGATCACGCCATGTATAGACCTGGGAAGTTGTTACCGGCCTCTTTAATATAAAAAAAAAAATAGTATGAATAAATTTGGGGGATAAATTAATCAATTTATTGTGGCGAAAATTTATTTTAAGAGAAGTAAAATTAATCAATTTATTGTGGCGAAAATTTATTCATGGAAGAAGTCAGATGTGTCACATTTTTTTTGCATTAGCCGGTAAACTATTTGGCATTCGGTTCTGGTTACCCGTAGCCAATGTTAAATGGTTTCAGTATGGCACATGTGTTTTTATTTAATAAGCTTGAAATGAAATATTAGCGCGACACGTCTGGCTTTCTTGCTGTTTCGCTGCATTAGGTACATGTTTATAGGAATCAGGCGAGATACCTCGACTGGTTATTCAGAGCGGCCATTACCTCCATTATATATTTTATTGATCTATTTGACTTGTATAAAAGCTATGATACAAGCTGAATTGCAGCGTATGCTCGTACAAAATAAATTTGCTATTTGAATTTATTTGGTATTCTTTTTTCTTTCGTATAGTAAAATAATAATAATTATTTTCATTCAAAATAATTCAATTTATTTTCGAGAAAGAAATAGGCCGTGTATTACATTAATATTGGTACCCGTTTCTATTAAGTATGTCATTACACATACGTACATAAACTGAGCTACAGTCGTTTACAGTTACATTGCTATAAATACGTGAAAATCGCGCAATTCTCCCACTTGCTTTCGACAACGCATTCAGACTTATAGTAGTACCTTTACGAGAATTCTACCCACCCACCACACCCCATGGTTTCTAAGTTCCTAATAGCCAGGACTTTTATAAGATATTTTGAATGTTTATTCACATCATTCTTGTAGTACAGTTAACCTTTTAAAGAGCACATTGACTGTTTCTTCGTAGTTTTATGTTGTAGATATGTTGTGGACACTGTTGGTACGGATGCTGCACGTAGATGGGAGTATGCTCCATCATGTTTCAACTACACTACATCATATACAGCATACATTTACCAGATGTGACCAAGGATTTGGCGATTTATCATGGACTTGTAAATAGCTTTGCGTTTGTGTTCAGCGCTTGATGGACTTGATGTAGTGACTTTTCTTTATTTTTGAAAAACAGTTGAATTTATATTTCCGTGCCTCAGTGTCTATTTCCTTTACATTCGCTAAGTTTTTGTTGACAATAAACTTACATTACTGTGTGATTCGCGATTGTATGCGTGCTACAAGTTACACAATAGGAATTTTATAAGGTGCAAATAATTTCTTTAATATTACATTTTAGTCGCTCTTTTGTAATTGTTATAAGGGAGTCAGACTTGTCGGTTACCAGCAGTAATTTAAGAAATTTTTGGCATAAGGTATTTAGTAGAAACAGGCAGCGTTATATTGTTTTTACTCAGTGGTTCATTAAGTGGCAGCTGTTTTTCCCTGGGTACCCGGTGACAAGCCGCTGCTACGGAATGACACTGGTGCCGTGTATCTATATTTATATATATATAATTATACATAATCACATGAGCGCATTTTCAGGTCGGGTTGATTCCCCTGATTGCGGGGTTGAATCGGTATTGCATATTGCTATGTTGCTAAAACGACCCATGTACTTTACAATGTTGCACCATCCTTATGCAGTGTCTATGGTGGTAGATGTCTATCGTTTCTGTTGAGACTATCATTTTTGGGTACTGGCACCGTCATTGTAGTACATCTAGTTCATGTTATGGACTGGGTCAAGTGTGTTTTGCCCACAGCACTTGGTGAAACCACAGTTGCTTTGCGTTTTTGCTTCGCTAGCCCGAGTTCATTATGGTGTTACGCTTTTCCATTACACTTGCTACCATGGTGGTCATGAATATTAATGGATACCCCACTCGTGTTTGTGATCATCACTGTAGAACTGTCTCTATGATACACCAGATTGCGTTATAAACAACTCCGGCTATATGTTTTTACCCAGAGTTGGGTGAAATTTGTCGCGATTGGACACCCATTGCGTTTGTTATTGCAGTTTGTTCAGGGGTAGTGTGTTGCTATTGCTTTTCGACCTGGTGTTAAACAATGAGCTGCTTTTCCCCTATGCAGTGGTTAATTTGATGGATGGGAGTCATGTCTGGTTACCCAGGAATGGCTTTTCCGTTTGTTATCTTGGCTACTGGCACCGTCGTTGTGACACAGAGATGCGCATGTAATGTATATGCCTGTAATTTGCCTGTATTAAAATTAGCAAGTTTTTCATTAATTGCATTAGCCGGTAAACTATTTGGCATTCGGTTCTGGTTACCCGGTAGCCAATGTTAAATGGTTTCAGTATGGCACATGTGTTTTTATTTAATAAGCTTGAAATGAAATATTAGCGCGACACGTCTGGCTTTCTTGCTGTTTCGCTGCATTAGGTACATGTTTATAGGAATCAGGCGAGATACCTCGACTGGTTATTCAGAGCGGCCATTACCTCCATTATATATTTTATTGATCTATTTGACTTGTATAAAAGCTATGATACAAGCTGAATTGCAGCGTATGCTCGTACAAAATAAATTTGCTATTTGAATTTATTTGGTATTCTTTTTTCTTTTGTATAGTAAAATAAAAAATATTTTTGTCTGAAGGTACAAGGCATAGAGCTTTGATGTTTGCTATATTATATATATCATCTATAGGTCCTCTACCAAAGTTGTTCAAATTTTTCCCCTGGTGTTAAAATTGGCCGTGCCCGGGGGCAGTGATTCTCATTATGTACACATAATAAAAGCAGAAAATAAAACAAATGTTTTCTGAATGGGAGAAAGCTACAGCTGAGATATTTGACTTGAAATGTTGTTTGGTGGACCTGTATCAAGATTGTTTTGAATTTAACCCTTGGGTCTAAATTTTGCCTTGCCCAAGGGGACAGTGACCTACTTTCTTGTCCGTTGATGTACAGCAATGAAATTTTGACCATGTGCATAGTTTTAGTTGTAAAATTGAACTTTGATATCAGGTGACTTAGATTTTGATGATGTGACCTACTTTCTTGTCCTTTGATGTACAGCTATGAAATTTGAACCATGTGCACAGATTAAGATGTAAAGTGAACTTTGATATCAGCTGACCTAGATTTTGACAAAGTGTCTTACTGTGTTGTCCTTTGATGTAGTCATGAAATTTAGGCTGTTTGAAATATGACCTTCACCACCAGATTCACTAGACTTGAGTGCATTGATATATTCCTACTCTGACCTTTTATTGAGTTAACAACAGATTTAACCACTAATCTGATAAGAATTAGATAGGTCAGGGATCTATGCATTATGACAATCTACAAAATTGAATAGAAACAAAAAAAATCTGTTCTTACACTACTATTTAGTGTTGTATTAATGCGGTGGCATAGCATTTTTCTCAAATGCAATCTTGTTTAACTTAGAAATTTCTACAATTTCCTGGTGCTTTATTTACAATCAAGCACTGAGAATAGCCGAGCGTGCTGTCGCACTGACACCATACTTTCTAACTGACAGCTTTCTAACTGACAGCTTTCTAACTGACAGCATACTTTCCAACTGACAGCTCTTGATTTTTGTTGTTGTTTTTTTTTTAGAGTTATCAATCATTTTCCAAATCATATGGAACTGACTAGGAAAGATTTGATGGTAAAGAATATAAAGAGGTACAGGAAAGAATTAGACAAAGAGAACAGTCCACTAACCGAGAGAGATGAAAATGGCAGATTTGTTCATCTAGGTATAGCATGTTTTCTTATGATTGAATATTTTAATACATAAGAGATAAATATGTCTCCCAAAATTTTTAGGAGACATATTGTTTTTGCCTTCATCGCCCTTCACAGGTCAAACTACTGTTTGTATTTCAACCAAACTTTTAAGGAGTGATCAGTGCCATCTCTTGTTGTGCACATCACCAGGATGCTCCGCTTCACTGCACAAAATGGCAGACAGAGCTAAAAATAGGAAAATCTTGTCTGGCCTACTGGTTGGATTTCAACCAAACTTTACAGGAATGGTCAATACCATTTGTCAAATTTCAACAAAACTTGCCAAGCCTTTCCTTAAGTGAAGGGCTTCTTAAGTTGTTCAAAGAATTTGATTCTTTGGAATAATAAGAAATTTTTTTTTAAAAATTCTTGTCAAGAACCACAAGGCCTAGAGAATAATTATTTTGCATATAAGACATTGTCTTATTGATCTCTACCAATATTTTTAAGATTATAGCCCAAGGATCAAAATTGGCAGCACCCTGGGGGTTATATGTTTTCCTTATAATTATGTATATATAGTAAAAATGATAAATATCTTTTTCTTTGAAACTACAAGGGCTAAAGCTTAGTTAATTACATGAAACATTGTCTCAAGCTCTTTTAAGATTATTTAAATCATAGCTTTTGGTCAAAATTGGCCTTGCACCAAGAGGTCATCGATCATTTTTTTTTCAAATCATAGTTAATAAGTGAAAGGGTAACAACTCATATTGTAATGTTATGCAATCTTTCTAAAAGTAAAAAGAAAGTCTATGTAGCAAGAGAGGTTTTTGCTTTGCAGTAATTATGCCAGGGCTCACGCTGGCTCAAATAAAATAATAGCCAATATTTTTAACTTAAAAAAATAATAGCCAAAAAGTCAGCGGACTATTCACGATTTAGCGGTTTATAACATTTTTAGCTCGACTATTTGAAGAATATGAGAGCTATTGTAGTCGCCCCGGCGTCGGCGTCTGCGTTGGTTAAAGTTTTTTGTAAAGTCAAATATCTCAATTATTACTTGAGATATTCAATTGAAGCTTACAATACTTATTTATAGTAACAAGGTACATCAGATTGACAAGTTGGATAACTCTGCCTACAATATTGACAGAATTATGCCCCTTTTTAACTTAGAAATTTTGGTTAAAGTTTTTTGTAAAGTCAAATATCTTGATTATTGCTTGAGATATTCAATTGAAACTTACAATACTTATTTATAGTAACAAGGTACATCAGATTGACAAGTTGGATAACTCTGCCTACAATATTGACAGAATTATGCCCCTTTTTAACTTAGAAATTTTGGTTAAAGTTTTTTGTAAAGTCAAATATCTTAATTATTGCTTGAGATATTCAATTGAAACTTACAATACTTATTTATAGTAACAAGGTACATCAGATTGACAAGTTGGATAACTCTGCCTACAATATTGACAGAATTATGCCCCTTTTTAACTTAGAAATTTTGGTTAAAGTTTTTTGTAAAGTCAAATATCTTGATTATTGCTTGAGATATTTCAATTGAAACTTACAATACTTATTTATAGTAACAAGGTACATCAGATTGACAAGTAAGATAACTCTGCCTACAATATTGACAGAATTATGCCCTTTTTAACTTAGAAATTTTTGGTTAAAGTTTTTTGTAAAGTCAAATATATTTGATTATTGCTTGAGATATTCAATTGAAACTTACAATACTTATTTATAGTAACAAGGTACATCAGATTGACAAGTTGGATAACTCTGCCTACAATATTGACAGAATTATGCCCCTTTTTAACTTAGAAATTTTGGTTAAAGTTTTTTGTAAAGTCAAATATCTTAATTATTGCTTGAGATATTCAATTGAAACTTACAATACTTATTTATAGTAACAAGGTACATCAGATTGACAAGTTGGATAACTCTGCCTACAATATTGACAGAATTATGCCCCTTTTTAACTTAGAAATTTTGGTTAAAGTTTTTTGTAAAGTCAAATATCTCAATTATTGCTTGAGATATTCAATTGAAACTTACAATACTTACTTATAGTAACAAGGTACATCAGATTGACAAGTTGGATAACTCTGCCTACAATATTGACAAAATTATGCCCATTTGGAACTTAGAATTTTGTTTAAAGTTTTTTTGAAAAGTCAAATTTCTCAATTATTGCTTGAGAAATTCAATTGAAATTTAAAATACTTTTTTATAGTACCAATGTACATCAGTTCGCAAAATTGCATAACTCTGTCTGCAATATTTGCAGAATTATTTGCCCCTTTGAAACTTAGAAATTTGGTTAAAGGTTTTCAAAGATATTTACTTGAAACTTTACACATGCACTTAGGGTCATAATTGAAAGGTCATAATTGTATGTCACTGACCAAGTTCCATAACTCTATCTTGCATTAAGGCTGATTCATATCCCCTTTTCTACTTAGTCTCTTGGTTAATGTTTACATGCAAGTTTTACATATCTCAATAACTATTAAAGATATTTATTTAAAACTTCACATATGATTTAGGGTCATAATTGTAGGTCACTGACAAAGATCCATAATTCTATCTTGCATTTTGAGGCAGATTTTTCTCCCCTTTTTTCAACTTAAAAATTCATGGTAAAGTTTTGCTAGTAAGCTGTTATATCAACAACTACTGAAGGGTTTGTGCCTTTTTTGGGACAATTTTATGCATTCATGATAATAAAGCAGTGATTTACTTTATAAAACATCTTAATAACAAGCCTTTGTACCTTTTCTGTCAAATTTATGTATTCATAGGTAATTAATACTTTTATACTCAATAAAACACCCTTGTGACATTTCCTTCCGTATAGTCAAGCCAGTACTGTATAATTAGACTCTCTCTAAGGCCTATAACATGAATTTATAAAAAAATTTTAGCCCTTTTGTGAACTTTAAAAATTTAACATTATCAAGGCTCTTTTACTATCAAGCACTTAGAATAGTCGAGCGTGCTGTCCTACCGACAGCTCTTGTTACATAAGTAGTTGATTAAATAAACATTACATATAAAACTTTTTAAGTTTTATAAGGATTCTTTAATAAACTGATACATTTGTGTATATTGATAGCTACCTTTATTTTACAATTAGAACCACAACTTTAATTGTTATTATAGAATAAATTAAAAATGTTAAATAGTATAATTACTGTATAACAATAATATAAAAGATTCATTATAACTTTTCTTAATGCTGTTTTCAGACGATTTCTTTTGTTTGTTCTTGCTATAACCAATGTCAATTTCCACATTTAACACAGAACTGGAGAACAGTCGAAACTGTCTTAAGCAGCCAGCCAAAGGATGAGAACCAATGTCAATTTCCACATTTAACACAGAACTGGAGTACAGTCGAAACTGTCTTAAGCAACCAGCCAAAGGATGCAGTCATTTTGGCTGCTTAAGACACTTGGCTGCTGAATGGAGGATCCAGTTTTTATCCAAATAAATAATTCATTTAAATTTCTTTGTAAAATAAATCTAATTTAAGTATAAATAAACCAGTCTGATTCATCATCATCATCATCAATTTTTAACAATTTACAAACGTATGCCATTAATGGTTTAACATGTACACACTCCTTCCAACATAAGGCTTTACATGAATGTAACACAGATAAACAAATGCACTCACGATTTATTATGTCAATAATTGAAACTAATTATCCCATAAAAATATCTTCTTGCACAATAATTTAAAATGAGTAATATTTTCTTCACAAAACAATGACAGTTTCTTTTCAATAGAATATTGTGTTCACGTCATCTAAGTGTCGGCACTTCCTTTGATGTTCCAGATTGAACCAGCAGGGCTACAGGTTTGTAAACATCAAAGATTCTTTTGAAGAGCCCGCTAGTTACCTCTTAGAGGTCATCTAGTGTGTAAACTAAATGGGTGGATTTAACAATGACCTCGTTATATTTATGCAATTTTATTTTCACACATGGAGCGAGTGTTTTTATGAATTTATTACTGAGGAATTTAGACAATCGGCGATGTAATTCATTTTCATTTCTTTGGTAAGTACCATGTACGCACCAAATTTATCTGAATCGGGATAAACTGATAAAAAGGAAAACAAATCAAAATATTTCTTTCCGTCATCAACAATGCATGTTTTTCTTCTTTTTTATTTTCTTAAAATCGGTAAATTGAAAAATAAAAAAACTAGCGTACAGTTACTCAAAAGAACAAATTGCAAGTGCGTGGAGACGTTCCAAACGTTTGTAATTACGACACGGATGAGCAATTATACAAATTCTTGAAATGTTGTGGTTTGTGTTAATATCTAGCACCTTACAAGTAGCTTTTGTTAATCCGTGACACGTGTCATCTTTAAAAATAAATAACAGAAGATTGTCTGGCCGTTTCACCTCGCTGACCGCTTAAGATGATCAAGTTTAAGATTCGGGAAGCATTTTAGGTGACCGTTGACTGCGGACAGCCCGCATAGCTCAATCGGTTAGAGCGCGAGACTTGTAATCTCGACATTGTGGGTTCGATTCCCGGGCTGGCCAACTAAAATTACTAATCAGTCTTTCGGATGAGACTTTAAATCGAGGTCCCGTGTATGGGTGCTTAAACACTTGGCACGCTAAAGAACCAGGAGAAGCTTCTGGAATTGGGGCATCTTTCTGTATCTGTAATTGCACTATCCTCCGAAAAATAAAATGACTAATACTCTTCTGGAGGGCTCGCCCATATGGGCAACCGGTGGCGAGTATAAATAAACGCAAATACACACACACACACGGACAGCAGGTGACCATTGAACAGATGTCTAAAATAGAGTGGTTTTCGTCGGGAGCGTCACAAAATGGCCGTTAAGGTCAGGTGACCGCCGAAAAGAGGTGACCGTTAGTACAGTTTCGACTGTAGATCTAGGTCATATTAGCCTATAGAAATAACACTTGCAAACTCAATCACAGAATGCAGCCTTTTTTCTGAAAAAGTCATCATCACCAATGTAATACAAATTTTCTGCCATAATAATTTAGATTTTTAAGCAGAACATAGCTTATTTTCACCTTAAAATAAATATCAAAATTATCGGTGTCGCGAAAATATGTGACAATCAGATTTTTTCCTGTTTTTTGAAGAAATATTCACAATTTTGGTTGTTGTGCAAATCGTTGTTTGGAAGTTTATCCTTTTTTTATATTTTATCCTTGTTTTCCTCTGGCGATTTAGTCAAGCAGCTTAAAACAAAAAAATTAATATTTGCCGCTACTGCAATTTACGGTAAATTTTGGGTTGGTCAAGTTTATCAATTTTAAGATGATTTTTGCGGCTAATTGACGGATATTTGATTGGTATTATAATGCTGGACAATATCTTTAAAGTACTTATACAATTTTACATCTCACATGTATTTTTATCACCTCGGGCAATATAATAATTTTTTTATCACCTCGGGCAATATAATAAGCAGCATGTGACCGATAAAAAGTTGACACTGATCAATTAAATCCACCCTGCTGGTGTTAATTGGGTCTACTGCATTGTTTATCGATTTTTACACCTTATATAGACACTGTTGGAAGTAAAATAATCGCCAGATTTTGTAGCCAAAATGCAAAAATAATCGCCAATCTTATAAAATAATCGCAAATGGCGACTATGGCGACTATGGCGACTGACAGCGTGAGCCCTGATTATGCTCCCCGAAGGGTGAGCATATAGTCGCCCCTTTGTATGTCCATCCCCTTTTCTTGTCCGGCCAAAAAGAGGTACCAGCATGAAACTTTGTAGGTAGATAGATCTCATTTAGTAGGTGTGCAGTGCACAAGAACCGTAACTCTGCCTTGCCTAATTCTTGAATTATTGCCCTTTGTTTATTTTTACTCTTTGAACTTTGTCCAGGATATAGCTCTAAAACTATAAGTTATCAACATGAAACTTTGCAGATAGATAGATCTAATTGAGTAGGTTTGCAGTGCACAAGAACTATAACTCTGCCAGGCCTAATTTTTTTGAAAAATTGCCCTTTGTTTATTTTTACACTTTGAACTTTGTCCAGGGCATAACTCTAAAAGTATAAGAGATATCAACATGAAACTTTGTAGGTAGATAGATCTTATTAAGTAGAAGTGCATTGTTAAAGAACCATAAATCTGTCTTGCCTAATTTTGGAGTTATTACACTTTGTTCATTTTGACACTTTGAATTTTGTCCGGGACATTACTCTAAAATTTTAAGAGATATCAACATGAAACTTTGTAGGTAAATATATCTCATTGGATAGAACTGCAGTGCTAAAAAACCTTAACACATTCTTGTCTAATTTTGGCGTTATTGCCCTTTGTTCGTTTTTACACTTTGAATTTTACCCGGGACATAACTCTGAAACTGTAAGAGATATCATCACGGAACTTTATAGATAGATAGATCTCATTGAATAAAAGTGCAGTGCAAAAAACCATAACTATGCCTTGCCTAATCTTGGAGTTTTTGCCCTTTGTTCATTTTTTATACTTTTTTGTGTCCAAAACTTTCTCGGGGAGCCGGTTCTAGTATCTATGATATGATTTGAGCACAATATGAGGACATTATGATTCACACCATATATATAATGATGATTTTAATCAAAGATATATGTTTTTTATGTTTTTGAAGTTTGTAATGCTTAATTGAAAAATAACTGTAACTGTATTTCAAAGTTTTAAATAGCTTATATTACAGTAAATACCAAAATTGTTATCAAATATAAAGAATACTTTTATTTTGAACAGTTATTATACTTTGACCTTTGTATCTTATTATTGGACACATCTGCACATTGTCTTTTATTTGACATGCTGAAATATGACCTTGACCCCCAAATCCAATAGACACTATTGCATTATGTCAAAGTTCAGTTATATAGAAACCCAAAAAAGTTACATCTGGTCCTATTTAGTGTTGTATTAATGGGGTGGCATAGTATTTTTTCACAAATGCAATATTGTCTTTTTCCGTGATTAGATTTTTTAACAGATTGTGATAGCATTGAGTGTATGTGTCATTAATGCAAACTAAAGAAAGAATGAGGTTTAACAGTTTTTCAAGCTATAATAATACAATAATAATAATAATATAGTAATAATAAACACTTTATTTCATTAAGATAACATTTTAAAAACACATGTCTTATTTACAATATGGCATTCAATTAAACATTAGGTAGAATAAAAAACCCACACATATGTAAACACATATAAAAATATAAACATCAAACATTTAAATCAACAGACACTTGCATCCATCATATAAATTCAAATTGTATATCAAGAAATTCTTTTATTCATTTTTCTTTTAAAAACATATAAAAGAAAAAGATTCTTTAATATATAGAATTTTAATGTAAATTATGTCATACTTGAATGGCTTTATAAATATTTATTTTTTTGTAATTCTTACATGTATGATGTTAATATAAGCAGTTGATCTATTTGGTATATACATTTCATTTTTTTTTTTTGAGAACACTAGAATATCTGAAATGTAGGATGAAGTCTTTCGGATGCCATCTTATTAAAATGTTGTTATTAAAATCTTGCCATCTTATTAAATTGATGTTATTAAAATCACCCAGAACAATAGATGAAAAAGAATTAAAGCTTTTGAGATATTGTAGCCAAAACAGTTAAGGTCAAATGATTGAAATGTGCTTAAATTATCATAACTTTATTATAGTTTTATGGATTTGATTTTTTATAAATAATTATATATTACTAAATCAACTCTACTTGACAGTGAGAAATTAAGGCTAATGTCAATTTAAGACTGTAGACATTTCTGTGGTTTGAGCTCTGCCATTTGTGACTAAACAGGCAGATGAGTCCTCATTAAAACATCCGGCTAGCCAACCAGCCAACCAGCCAGCCAGCAATCCATCCATCCATCCATCCATCCATACATCCATCCTTCCATCCATCCATCCATCCATCCATCCATCCATCCATCTTATATAACACCAAAAGTAAAGTAAATTTTGATGAACAATAGTCCTGTATTGAAGAGTTTCTTCTAGTCTTGGCAATCAAATGTATAGAATATGGAAATCATTATATTAAGATACTTTCTTTGCTTTCTTTGTTATTTTTAGCTCGACTATTCGCAGAATAATCGAGCTAATGCAGTCACCCATTTGTCGGCGTCGGCGTCGGCGTCGGCGTCGGCGTCGGCGTCCCTGTGGTTAAGTTTTTGTATGTAAGCTGGTATCTCCATAACTACTGAAGGGAATGGATTGAAACTTCACACACTTGTTCTCTGTGATTATCTAAGATGATTGGCACAAGTCCCATAACTCTGATTTGCTTTTTTTCATAATTATGCCCCTTTTTCGACTTAGAAATTCTTGGTTAAGTTTTTGTATGTAAGCTGGTATCTCCATAACTACTGAAGGGAATGGATTGAAACTTCACACACTTGTTCTCTGTGATTATCTAAGATGATTGGTACAAGTCCCATAACTCTGATTTGCTTTTTTACATAATTATGCCCCTTTTTCGACTTAGAAATTCTTGGTTAAGTTTTTGTATGTAAGCTGGTATCTCCATAACTACTGAAGGGAATGGATTGAAACTTCACACACTTGTTCTCTGTGATTATCTAAGATGATTGGCACAAGTCCCATAACTCTGATTTGCTTTTTTTCATAATTATGCCCCTTTTTCGACTTAGAAATTCTTGGTTAAGTTTTTGTATGTAAGCTGGTATCTCCAAAACTACTGAAGGGAATGGATTGAAACTTTACACACTTGTTCTCTGTGATTATCTAAGATGATTGGCACAAGTCCCATAACTCTGATTTGCTTTTTTTCATAATTATGCCCCTTTTTCGACTTAGAAATTCTTGGTTAAGTTTTTGTATGTAAGCTGGTATCTCCATAACTACTGAAGGGAATGGATTGAAACTTCACACACTTGTTCTCTGTGATTATATAAGTTGATTGGCACAAGTCCCATAACTCTGATTTGCTTTTTTTCATAATTATGCCCCTTTTTCGACTTAGAAATTCTTGGTTAAGTTTTTGCATGTAAGCTGGTATCTCCATAACTACTGAAGGGAATGGATTGAAACTTCACACACTTGTTCTCTGTGATTATCTAAGATGATTGGCACAAGTCCCATAACTCTGATTTGCTTTTTTTCATAATTATGCCCCTTTTTCGACTTAGAAATTCTTGGTTAAGTTTTTGCGTGTAAGCTGGTATCTCCATAACTACTGAAGGGAATGGATTGAAACTTCACACACTTGGTCTCTGTGATTATCTTAGATGATTGGTACAAGTCCCATAACTCTGATTTGCTTCTTTGCATAATTATGCCCCTTTTTCGACTCATGAATTCTTGGTTAAGATTTTGCATGTAAGCTTGTATCTGCATAACTACTGAAGGGAATGTATTGAAACTTGAAGAGTTTGTACCTTTTCGGGAATTTTATGTATTCATATAGGTAAGCATTATTATACTCAATGAAACACCCTTGTGACAAATTTTCGAATAGTCGAGCGTTACTGTCCTCCGACAGTTCTTGTTGTTATATGAAATATAACAAAAATATCAAAGCACATATATTGACATTTGAATCATGTTTATTGCACACAAGAATTATGATTTTGATCAGTAGAAATTCAAGTCTTAATACTGTCTGCTTTTGACCACATGTTTTATTGGCCAGCGAATATCCTAGAAAGGAGTTTGCATACATGGAAGTTTGCTGCATTGTTTCTTGCCCTTTGCTGAAGAGAAAGCAAGTAGCAATTTAATGCTTGTTGAGGTCTGTTTTCTTGTTCCATACATTGTCCTAAAATGTTGAGAGCTGTTTCTCTATGTTTAAGGTTTTCGTCAGTTACTATGGTTCTTATAAGTTTATTAAGTGCTTGTTGTTTATCTTGATGTCTTTGTAGATGACGATAGATCTTGTATTGTAGGAAGTACAGGAAAGGTAGAGAATCAACTACAGCCCAGTCCATCCAACAGTCTTTAAACCAATGTCTATGTATCATGTCATCTTGTGTAGATCTGAACATCTCATATTGGAGTTCATAAGGAATACAGTTGATCTCTTCCTGTATAAATTTGACACAAAATGCTGTAATATGTTTAATACAGTCCTCACTTTGCTCACCACATATCCTCATGAGTTCTGCTGTTACTGCTGGAGGCTTCTTCACGCATGTACAGACAGGTACAACAGGATAAGAGTAATATTGTTGTTCAATGTGTCTCAGAATGAGTTCAGCTTGCTCCATATCTCCTGTACTGTAGAACACTGAAGCCAATTTAAGTCTGCTAGAAGAGATATCTGAGTTTAAACCAGCTGATAGCCAGACCAACACTTCAGGTGACACTTGATTATTTTCGGCAACCCTGGATGATGCCAGGGCAGACCCATATGTGGTAAAAAGAATAGGTGCTAGAAACTTCAATGCAATCTGTTCTAATCTATTACTATTAACTCTGAAAGAAATTAATTTACCAACAAATTGTTTCATTGTTCTTATGTTTTTATTGTGTAAATGATGTAAAATGTCATGGTGATGATAGCTAGTGCTGTATGCTCTGCCTAAATATTCTTCGGTCATATAAAGTTCATGTATATCAATAGAATAGTGATAATAATATATTCCATGTGGTACTATGTTTAGTTTAACTTGCAGTCTATAGCCAAGATCATCAATTTCAATTCTAAGTAACATTTGACTGTCATTCTGTAAAACATCACAAATTTTTTTTGAAAGTTCATTTTTTTTTTCAGCTGTAAATTGCCCTGCCATCAAATTGTTTTCTTGAATAATAAAATGTGAACAACAGTCATTCTGTACACAGGTGTGTAATTCCAGTAAGCAATATGTTAAACATGTAAATAAATTGTTCTCTTTCCATATACTTGACTCTGTGTTTTCTATACAGTGTAATAGAACTGTTTTACACATGAAGCTTGATATATTAATTTCTGCGTGAGGATTAAGGAAGGATTTCAGAATCATTTTCAACAATACATAGCACCTTATTTGTGTTATATTTAGATTTGACATCAAACACCTTTCTGCCAGGGATGTAGATATTCTCCATTCCAGTTCAGGATATTCACTGACCTTACTTCCAGTTGCAACAACAAAACACCCAGTACTGGCTGCATATCTTCTCATGTCTTGTGTTGGCCATCTGCCAATACCTTGTCTATCTAACCAATCTGATGCTGATTGAGGCCAGGATTTACAATGAAAAGCTGGCACAATGTCTGTATCACAGAATCCATCCTGTCCTTGTTCAGCATTTGATGGTCCATGATCTACAGCACCCGGAATGGCACCATTATATAATGTGTTTTTTAACAATATTCTTCCACTTCTATCATTTATATGGTGTTCATTAGGAATGACAGTGACAGGAAGAGGTATATCAGGTTGGAGCAGTTGTAAGAAACAATAACCAGGGGTAGTGTTCTCATCCTGTATCATGAGATAGTTTAACTTGCCATGTTCCCACTCTGACCAGTCTTGTATTATATTGTAATCATGATGACAGAGTAGTATATCAAGGTCTGAATGAAGTCCTCTAGTAGTTGTACCTTCACTCTGACTCCCTAGACAATATTCAGTCATGTTTTTATCAGTTAACCTGTAAGTGATATTAATCATAGTCTCCTCCAGCATTAATTGTCTTCTCCTTCTCATCACCATTCTTTCATTGACACCAATGTCATCTAAAACCTCTGATAACGCCAATGATAGGTTTTCTCTGTAGTCAGCTTCTTGAAACATTCTGTAATATATTAATAAAAGTCACCAGGTTTATTTTGTCACATACTTTTCTTGTTACTCTTATATCCTTGATGTCCTAGAACAGAATAGTACAGGATAGCCAATTTTTTATATTATGAAATTTTAAATAAGTTGAGGTAGATATCAATAAATGAATATTTTATAAATTATCCTTAACCTTCTATCTGTTTGATTTTGATATGTTCCTATCATATCAGTGTATTAATAGATGAGTGGGATGTAAAAGGAATTCTATTGTCAGTTATATAAATAACACAAGGGTTTGTGGGTAACAGTAAAAGTATCATCCCGATATACTGATACATGAGGCGTTAGCAGAGGATAACAGTATTTTCACGAGGGATGATATTTGTACAGTTACTCACAAACTAATGTCTTATTTATTTTATAACCCCAAACAAATAATATATAAATTTAACTAAATCTAACTGTAAAAAATTGAACCAAAAGTAACAATAACCCAACTATCATTACCTTGCAGTACAAATTTCTTAGTCACATGGTATACTTGCTTTAACAGTAAATAAAGAATAAGTCCCAGTGGCCTATGGGGAATTAACTTTATGAAATAAGTTAGGGGTAATAATATTAAATGTTAATGGTATTTGTGTCACTAATTGTGGCGAATTATAACTGAACGATTCTTATCTGGTGGATTTTCACTCTCTGTTTTGTGCTATACATGTAATTTCTCCAGTATCAATATATTAAAATGTTCCTTCCTTTTAAAAAAAGACATAAAACATTAATAACTAACTTATTAATGTTTTATCAATAGCTAATTGCATGATGTCCCTTTAAATAGTAAAGCCTTTTTGAGTTTCAGAGTAACATGCAAAATATACATCAATATAAAATTATTTATTATATACTTATAAATGAAATATTGAGAAATATTGATGAAATAAAATGCGTATTTTCATTTTCCGTATTTTCACTGTAAAAATTTATTTTTCACTGCAGTGAAACATATTTTCCGTATTTTCACTGGTGTCTCCCCGGAACTACTTTCTTTTAAATTCTGCCAGTACACAAAATTTAAGGGAAAGTCTTTCTAATTTTATCGCAAAAAAAGAGAAAAATGTATATAATAAATAGAAAATTCAAGTTTTTTCTATAAATACATGATTTATTTTCATCTTGTGGCATGAAAATTACCATATTTCACCCGTGGCTACCGCCACTCATGAAATATTTATTTTCATACCACTTGATGAAAATAAATCATGTATTTATAGAAAAAACTTGAATATCCTCTATAAATTTAATCATTTTTTGGGGGTTTTTTTGTTTACATCATATCAATTTATAGCTTGAAGCAACTAGAAGCTAAGAAAGAGACACTTGAATTATATATTAATAAAACATAACTTGCATCTTACACAATTAAATATTCATTGGAATACTTTATTAAATATGATAAATTTATAATGTAATAAATGTTGAAATATGTGTACAAAAATAAAATCTTAAACTTTCTTTGAAAGTTTGACTTTGTACTATGTTGCAAAAAAAATCAAGAAATCAAATTACATGTACTCTGTTTCGCAAGATAGAAAGAAATTTTGCTACTTTTACTTCCTCAGATGACATGAAGAGGAAAATAACTCAATTCTTCATCCTACTGTTTTATAAGAAAATTTGATTGTTTCCTCTGTTGAAAAAAAACCCCAACATACATGAAACTATAAGGACTATAAGTGGCATGAAAATTACCATATTACACTCGTGGCTACCGCCACTCGTGAAATATTTATTTTCATACCACTCGATGAAAATAAATCATGTATTTATAGAAAAAACTTGAATATCCTCTATGTATTTTTATCAAATTATTTATAGGTATATAAAACTGTTTTACAGACATACCCAATCAAGATTTTAATATTTTTTAAAAATTGCAATAAATTCAGAAAAAAAGCATGTTATTTAAATAACTGACAGAGTTTTCATCATGCTTACTTTGGTATATATATTGTATATTGTTTATATTTGCAAGATGGAAACTAGACTAACAAGAGCCACCACCAGGCAGGGGCAGTGCTCAACCTTTTTACTTTTTCTAAAAGTAAACAAATAAAGGTTTAAATAAATTTGAGTTTAATATACATGAAGGTCCTAAAGAATGTTGTGTCTTAATATGAAGTCAATCCATTCATTTAAATGACAAAGTTATGGCCAGCTACAGTATAGCAAAAAAGTGAAAAAAAGTCTTCATTTTTGACAATTTGTTAAGTCATAATTAGGTCACTTAAATTCAAAGGTCAAGGTCTTTATATTTCACATATTGATTGGTTACAACTAGTAGGTCATTATTTATTCTTTTTTTCCATAAGTGAACACTTCCATGTACGCATTTATGGCAAGTTTCTATAACACAAGAGCTGTCGGTAGGACAGCAACGCTCAACTATTCTTAGTGCTTGATAGTAAAAAAAATGCTTGATACAGTTACCTCCTCCTGTTTACAGGTCGGGGTCATGATGGTGAACAAGTGTGCAAAGTTTCAAAGCCATATGTCAATGGACTTTGAAAATATTTGAACTATTACAAAAACTTTAACGTAAATTCTAAGTCGAAAAAGGGGCTTAATTCTGTCAAAATGCTTGATAGAGTTACCTCCTACTGTTTACAGATTGGGGTCATGATGTTGAACAAGTGTGCAAAGTTTCAAAGCCATATGTCAATGGACTTTGAAAATATTTGAACTATTACAAAAACTTTAACGTAAATTCTAAGTCGAAAAAGGGGCATAATTCTGTCAAAATGCTTGAAAGAGTTACCTCCTCCTGTCTACAGGTTGGGGTCATGATGGTGAACAAGTATGCAAAGTTTTCAAGCCATATGTCAATGGACTTTGAAAATATTTGAACTATTACAAAAACTTTAACGTAAATTCTAAGTCGAAAAAGGGGCATAATTCTGTCAAAATGCTTGATAGAGTTACCTCCTCCTGTCTACAGGTTGGGGTCATGATGGTGAACAAGTGTGCAAAGTTTCAAAGCCATATGTCAATGGACTTTGAAAATATTTGAACTATTACAAAAACTTTAACGTAAATTCTAAGTCGAAAAAGGGGCATAATTCTGTCAAAATGCTTGATAGAGTTACCTCCTCCTGTCTACAAGTTGGGGTCATGATGGTGAACAAGTGTGCAAAGTTTCAAAGCCATATGTCAATGGACTTTGAAAATATTTGAACTATTACAAAAACTTTAACATAAGTGGTTACGCCGACGCCGACGCTCGGGTGACTGCAATAGCTCTACTTATTCTTATCGAATAGTCGAGCTAAAAAGGGGAATAATTCTGTCAAAATGCTTGATAGAGTTACCTCCTCCTGTCTACAGGTTGGGGTCATGATGGTGGTCAAGTGTGCAAAGTTTCAAAGCCATTGAAAATGGACTTTGAAAATATTTGAACTATTACAAAAACTTTAACGTAAATTCTAAGTCGAAAAAGGGGCATAATTCTGTCAAAATGCTTGATAGAGTTACTTCCTCCTGTCTACAGGTTGGGTTCATGATGGTAAACAAGTGTGCAAAGTTTCAAAGCCATATGTCAATGGACTTTGAAAATATTTGAACTATTACAAAAACTTTAACGTAAATTCTAAGTCGAAAAAGGGGCATAATTCTGTCAAAATGCTTGATAGAGTTACCTCCTCCTGTCTACAGGTTGGGGTCTTGATGGTGAACAAGTGTGCAAAGTTTTCAAAGCCATATGTCAATGGACTTTGAAAATATTTGAACTATTACAAAAACTTTAACGTAAATTCTAAGTCGAAAAAGGGGCATAATTCTGTCAAAATGCTTGATAGAGTTACCTCCTCCTGTCTACAGGTTGGGGTCATGATGGTGAACAAGTGTGCAAAGTTTCAAAGCCATATGTCAATGGACTTTGAAAATATTTGAACTATTACAAAAACTTTAACGTAAATTCTAAGTAGAAAAAGGGGCATAATTCTGTCAAAATGCTTGATAGAGTTACCTCCTCCTGTCTACAAGTTGGGCTCATGATGGTGAAACAAGTGTGCAAAGTTTCAAAGCCATATGTCAATGGACTTTGAAAATATTTGAACTATTACGAAAACTTTAACATAAGTGGTTACGCCGACGCCGACGCTCGGGTGACTGCAATAGCTCTACTTATTCTTATCGAAATAGTCGAGCTAAAAAGGGGAATAATTCTGTCAAAATGCTTGATAGAGTTACCTCCTCCTGTCTACAGATTGGGGTCATGATGGTGGTCAAGTGTGCAAAGTTTCAAAGCCATTGAAAAATGGACTTTGAAAATATTTGAACTATTACAAAAACTTTAACGTAAATTCTAAGTCGAAAAAGGGGCATAATTCTGTCAAAATGCTTGATAGAGTTACTTCCTCCTGTCTACAGGTTGGGTTCATGATGGTAAACAAGTGTGCAAAGTTTCAAAGCCATATGTCAAATGGACTTTGAAAATATTTGAACTATTACAAAAACTTTAACGTAAATTCTAAGTCGAAAAAGGGGCATAATTCTGTCAAAATGCTTGATAGAGTTACCTCCTCCTGTCTACAGGTTGGGGTCTTGATGGTGAACAAGTGTGCAAAGTTTTCAAAGCCATATGTCAATGGACTTTGAAAATATTTGAACTATTACAAAAACTTTAACGTAAATTCTAAGTCGAAAAAGGGGCATAATTCTGTCAAAATGCTTGATAGAGTTACCTCCTCCTGTCTACAGGTTGGGGTCATGATGGTGAACAAGTGTGCAAAGTTTCAAAGCCATATGTCAATGGACTTTGAAAATATTTGAACTATTACAAAAACTTTAACGTAAATTCTAAGTAGAAAAAGGGGCATAATTCTGTCAAAATGCTTGATAGAGTTACCTCCTCCTGTCTACAGGTTGGGCTCATGATGGTGAACAAGTGTGCAAAGTTTCAAAGCCATATGTCAATGGACTTTGAAAATATTTGAACTATTACGAAAACTTTAACATAAGTGGTTACGCCGACGCCGACGCTCGGGTGACTGCAATAGCTCTACTTATTCTTATCAAATAGTCGAGCTAAAAATTACCAAATTAGTATGAGTCTAGGGCTAGAATGTGGGGCATGATGATTGTCTTGTTTACCAGTTATGTTGTTAATTTCATGAAATGCCCAACACATCATCCATTGTTGTTTTTAGAGAAAATTAAAATTGTGTAGCCACCAGTATAGAGTCTGATCAGAATACTCAAATTTGCTGATTGGCTTGGTTCAATATATGTTATCTGGAAGTTGACAAATGTGGGGTTCTTATTTAATCCTAGGGTACAAACAAACTTTGATCATAATAGCTCCACAGGGCACTACCTTTCACATTACAGTAATCAATGTGTTGGGTACCTTTTTTTCCCCAATATATTTACCAAGTTGTTACTGTGAAATTTGTTTATACCCACACGAGTTCCGGAGTATTTGTATTCTGGTTGCATAAGTAAGTTATTTTTAGATTTAACTTTCATGGATTTAATATTCAACTTAATTGGTAGAGAATTGGACTGTGAACGGGCAACACGGGTTCAATTCTCTGACAATGCAGGTCACATTCGTTGTGATTAATCATGAAATTTTTTCTTTCTGTCATTTACACTGTACCTCATTCTGGCATGTACAGTTGTCAGTTCGTTACGAAAGATAAGGCAACTATAAGTACAGGTAAACAACTTGACAGCCTGCTCAAGAGCGATGCAATGGCTGAACTGCTGTCTGTTAAATTCAATATGGCTTACTGCCATGATTCGGAGTGAAAACTACCAACACAACCACAAGAGTTAATATTTGAGTTTTTATCTTTTCAGACTTTATACCACAGACTTACATGCTGCCAGCAGACTATAACCTTTTTGTAGAAGAATTTAGAAAGAATCCAAACACAACATGGATTATGAAACCCTGCGGAAAAGGTAAACACAATATGTACAATTGTATCTTACATAATAGTTTTTCACTTGTAGAACAGTGATAATATTTCACAATTTGATATCACAATTCATGCCCTTTTTATATGCCCAAAACAATTTCAGGCATATTATGTTACACCCCCTGGCGTCCGTCTGTCCATCTGTCCATTAGCAATTTTGTTTCCGGAGCATAACTTAAGTTCCATTTGGCCCACAATTTTCAAACTTCTTAGGATGATTGTCCAGATTGGATGGAAAACCCCTAAAGATTTTGGGGTCACAAGGTCAAAGGTCAAGGTCATTATTACCTTAAAACTGGAAATAGTTTACGGAGCATAACTAAATTACATTTGGCCCACAACATTCATAGAATGATTGGCCATATTGGGTAGAAGACCCCTATTAATTTTGGGGTACTAAGGTCAAGGTCACTATTACCTAAAAACTGAAAACAGTTTCCGGAGCATAACTTAAGTTCCATTTGGCCCACAATATTAAAACTTTGTAGGATGATTGTCCATATTGAGTACAAGACCCCTATTGATTTTGGGGTCACAAGGTCAAAGGTCCAGGTCACTATTGGTATTACATTAAAACTGAAAACAGTCTACGGAGCATAACTTAAGTTCTATTTGGCCCACAATATTTAAACTTCATAAGATGATTGTCCATATTGGGTAAAAGATCCCAATTGAATATGGGGTCACAAGGTCAAAGGTCAAGGTCACTATTACCTTAAAACTGAAAACAGTTTCAGCTCAATAACTTAAGTATTAATCAATCTACAGCTGTAAAATTTTATAGGATGTCAACAGCCATGTCCAATACATGACTCCTATTGATTTTAGGGTCATCAAGTCAAAGGTCAGGGTCTTGGGTGGCTACTGTTTTGATCCAAATATCCTGTAAATTGGTCTGAAATTTTGTTTTGATGATTTGTAGGTCGAGTTCGAACATGGGTCATCTCGGATGAAATACTAAGTCACAGTCCACCCAAATATGAAAAACGTTGTTAACACTCAAGTAGTCACATTTTTGACTCAATTATCATCAAACTTGGTCAGGATGCTTGTCTAGGTAATAGCTCGGATGAGTTCTCAAATGAAAAAGTCACAGGGGCTAAAAATAGAAAAATCTTTTTAACACTCTAGTGACTACTTTGTTATCCAAATAGGCTGGAAATTTGTCTGAAAGTTTGTTTTGATGATTTCTTGGTCAAGTTTGAATATTGGTCACCTGGGGTCAAAAACTAGGTCACACTGCTCAAATATAGATAATCCTTGTTCACACTCTAGTGGTCACATTTTTGACTCGCCTGGCATGAAACATGGTCAGAATGCTTGTCTAGGTAATTGTTCGGATGAGTTTGATGAGTTAGATGAGCGATCTAGGGCCATCTTGGCCCTCTTGTTAACAGTATTGAAAACCCCATGATAACACTTAAATTCAAACAAATTTTATCATGCTTATGAATACTATAATTAGTTTGTGCATTCACACAGGCAATCAAATCATCACATTTCTAAACTTTAAAAATTATAGTTATATGTAACATGGGAAATGCGTGATTTTCCCTTCTTATTGCAAACAATGTGCAGACAAACTTTTACCGTTCTAGCTTCATGGTGCACAATCTGGTGTACATTTTACAATAGTAATCAATGAATTAATGAAGTATAATTTGGAAATATACCATTAAATTAAGGCAAATTCTTTCTGAGCAGCCGTTGGGTCATTTAAACATCAACCATGGCATAACTTAAGCCATGGTTGATTTTTCGAATGGCCCATAGGTAGAGTTTCTAATACAAACAGAAATAGTACTGTCAATTTTTCCAAATAAAAACTGCAGACATTTATGCTAACAAAACTATTTTAGAAGTCTAAACATCAAAATAAGAACTAGAGTTCATGGAGAACCGTTTTTTTATCAAAGAAATGTAGCTGTCTCTGTTTTTATGAAATTGATAAAATTTGACAAACCTTAGTATGATGATAGGTGAAGTCCACCATCCAAACGTTTAAATTGTAACGTCAGTTGACACAGCCTCTTCCCACAGTCCTTATAAATATGATAATCATTAGGCAATGATATCTATGCTGCTGTTTTTGTCTCTATTTATACCATTCTGAATGACTATATGGTGAGGAAAATAATGTTTTAAAGGAAATTTTTCTGGATTGGAAACTTCAGATTTCCTCAGACCGTGGGAGTGTATACTTGAAAGTGCTTATCAATTTAAATCCTCTTGTTGAAAATGTAAGTAAACTGAAATTAAACTTTTGGCATGTAACATTACCTAGTAAATCTCTAGCAAGTTTATATAAATTATAAATATCCTTTAGCAGTCTTTCACAAACAGCTATTTTAACCCTTAAAGTGCTGGAACCGAAAGTGTTATGCCTTTGCCACCAGTATAGAGCCAGGCCAGCCTGCACATCCGTGCAGTCTGACCAGACTCTATACTGTTGGCTGACAAATTTTAAATATTCAAATTGATATCCCTAAAATTGATAATGGACAGTCCCAAAAATGGAAGTGGGACAAGTCCATTTAAGATATTCAACATGTTCAGGGTTAAGGTAAGCAAACATATTGTCAGTGCCAGAAAACAAAAAACAAAAATATTTAACATATGCTCACTTAAACACATCAGTTATTGTAATTATACCCCCACAAAAGAAGTTTAGGGGGTGTATATGGGAGTGCTTGTCGGTCGGTCAGTCCGTCTGTAGGTCCGTCGTATGGTCCACATCATGGTTTCCGGGCGATAACTAGAGTTTGGAATGAGATATTGTTTTCAAACTTGGTATATACCTTATGTGGAGACAGAAAAATGGTTTCTGGACAATGACTAGAGTTAGGAATGAAATATTGTAATCAAACTAGGTGTATTGCAAGCTTATATGAAGACACCGGTTGGTATAACATTAATGAACCCCCTTTAGGGTCAAGGTCACCATTACTGAAAATATAAAAAATGGTTCCTGGACAATAACTAGAGTTATGAATTGAGATATTTTAATCAAAATGGTGTATAGCAAGCTGATATGAAGACCACAGTTGGTTTAGCATTTGGACCCTCTGGGGTCAAGGTCACCATTACTGAAAATAGAAAAATGGTTTCTGTACAATAGCTTAAGTTAGGAATGAGATTTTGTAATCAAACTCAGTGTAAAGCAAGCTTATATGAAGACCCCTGTTAAGATTGCAGTTAATTGAAATAACTCTTTGAACACAGTTGATACTTCATTTAATATAGGTTGAGTTCAAATTTTTCTTCAGACCATTTATTTTTCAAACAGTCAAAGTTGCTGGTGGGGTATTAATTACCTTCAGTGATAGGTTTAGTTTTGGTTTTTAACGTTAGTCAACATTATTTCCATTAAAAGGATGGCCATCATCACTTATGTTCATCTGTAACATCTTTAAATGGTAAAAATCAGAGTGGGTAGAGAATTGAAACTGAATTAAAAACTGGTTCAATATCCTTATATGGTAAAAACGGTTAAATGTTTTAATGACTTATGTGACGTCTTGTTTGTTTCAGTTTTGGTCTAATCTAAGTGTTTCCTTATCATATGATTATAATTCTTTGAAAATAAGTGTTTGTACTAAGTGATTTCAGAGGCTATGGCCTACTGTTGCTGTACTATGTAGCCAATACAATGTGGCGAATGATGTCATTTTTAGTGGGTTTTTTTTAAGAAGCATACATTGTCTGGTTTCTATTCTGTTAACCAATACATTATGTGGCATATGATGTCATTTTTAGGTTTTTTTTAAGAAGCATACATTGTCTCGATCTGGAGAAGAAAAATCTGCTGTAAATATTTTATTTCTTACTCAGATGTAGCATTCAAAGGTAACAGAGTTAAAGCCTAAGTACAGTCTAAATACATTGTCTGTATTGCTTGTTTGTTAGGTAAAATAGTTTTTAGCCTGACATTTTTCAGAAAAAAAAGTAGTGGTATTGTTAGAGTCACATACTAGTATGTCGCCTTTGCCGTTGTCGCTTGGAAACTTGTATGTTCATAACTTTTTAAGTTCTTGGTGTATTGTCTTCGTACTTAGCCACAACAAGGCTTGGGACAATACCTTTTAGTAAACTAGACTAACTTTGACCTTCATCCATAAATGACCTTGACATTCAAGGTTAAGTGTCTAAATTTTGTTTGTTTTTTTTGCTGATTATTGCTTTAAGTGGCTACCACTTATTTTTGAATGGATTGTCCCCAAACTTTAACATAATAATCTTTTAGGATAGCCCTTTTAGTTGACCTGACAGACCTTTATCTTCACTCATCAATGCCATTTACCTTCAAGGTCAAATGAGACCTTTATCTTCACTCATCAATGCCATTTACCTTCAAGGTCAAATGTCCAAATTTTGCTTGTTTCTTGTTTTTAGTGGCTATTACTTTGTCATTTTTGAATGGATTGTCTTCAAACTAAAACGTAATAATCTTAAAGTATAACCCTTTAGGTTAACTTAAGACAGACCTTAGCTTTCATTCATATAAGACCTTGACCTTGAAGGTCAAATTAACGAAATTTTCATTTTTTTGGCAGTAACTGGCTGTAACTTTGTTATTATTGAATGGATTGACTTCATATTAAAACAGAACATTCTTTAGGATAAGACCTTCATGTATATCAAACTCAAATTGACCTTGACTGTATAATGACATTGACCTTGAAGGTTAAATTATTGAATTTTCACTGATTTTTGCTTTAATTGTAACTAAGTAATTAATAAATGGGTTATTTTCATACTTTGACAAAACAACATTTTGGACAACTTAAGCCTTCTTAAAGTTTGAACTGACCTTGCCTTTGACCTTCAAGGTCAAATGTCAAAATTTTGCTTGTTTCTTGCTATTATTGGCTATAACTTTGTTATTGTCTTTAAACTTGAACATAATAATCTTTTAGGATAGCCCTTTAAGTAAACCAGACATATATTGATAAATATTTTTTTTCTTCTGTAATATATATATGTATATACATACATGTATATATTATAGAAAATATATATATGTATATTTATATAAGATCCTTGATTGTCAAAAGAATTTTGATTATATTTTCTTAACATTGTCATTTATTTATGGAAAGGATTCATACTTTGCCAAAGCTAGTGTGACTAGACAGACCTTTAAAAAATATAAAAAGGAAAACATAACGTTTTTCCCTAAGAGTTGTTTTAACTGTTTCTTTGTTTGCTTTAAGTAAAAGTTGGCTCTTGCACATGTTTTTAAGTATTATAACAAAAACCTGTATATATATGTTTACATTTCAGCAAGAGGTATTGGTATTTTCTTGGTAAATAAACTGTCACAGTTAAAGAAATGGTCAAGAGATAGTAAAACTAGCAAGTAAGTTATAAATTCTCTTAAAAACTGTTCTCATCGTTTAATTATCAAAAATTGAGAATCCTATTTACATTGCTTTTATAGTCTGACAATCTTTTATTTATTTAACATAACCGGCAAAGTAAGAAATTGCAGATTCTGATTTGTAAATTTTAAATCCTGACTAGTGTTTTCAGGTCTTATAGATGGGTAAATACCATTTAAAATATATGAACCATTCAATAGAACCTGATCATTATGCAGACTTGTAGAATGACTTATATATCACAGTTTTGTGATGAACAGTCAAATTATTCCAGATAAACTAGATATATTTTATATCAAATTTTCCTTTGTTTCACTATAGTTTTTATTACAAACCTCTATTGATATATGCTACAAACCCTATCTTTTGTTTAAGTTTTGTACCACCAACATCAAAGGACACATATGTGATATCAAAGTATATAGATAATCCTCTCCTGATTGGTGGAAAGAAATTCGATCTCAGATTGTATGTTCTCGTCACATCTTTCCGACCACTAAAATGTTACATGTAAGTATAGAAAAAAGAAAATTTATACTCTCAGGTGTTATAGTAAAATAAACGTAATTTATCTAAGCCTATTTTTAAGAATTTATGTTGCTTATATGAACCGCGATGGATTCTACCTCCATAATAATTAGAAACCAGCAAGAAAACCTTGTTGTGACCTTATTAGGGTTTGGACACATGATCCCAGGGTTGAATGGCAGACACCTAAACCACCAAGCCACCAGTCTTGTTTCATTTCAATACTAGACATAAAAGAAAACTTGTTCATTACCACTTGTATGTTATTGATCATTTTAGTAAAAAAATGCCCCTTTTTGACAATCACCTCTTGCATATTCCCTGACACTCAGGTCTTTATTTACTCGCGCTAGTCGTAGGGTGAACATTTACTACGATCATTAAGTGGGGTTTTTTTTTTACAAGTATGCCCTTTTGACAAAAATTGGGGATAAAAACACAGTATTATTGCAAATGTGGAAGAAAAAAAATGAGGTTAATTGAAATTGAGGGAAAAACTGCATAATTTTTAAGAAGTTTTGCTTTGGGAAATCAGCCGTTGAACTAGGGCGCTAGCTGGTAAATGAGAGAAAAGAAGCCCTGCTTATAGAAGCAATTCATAGAAAATAAAATATTTATTGTTTTTATTTGCTATAGAGCACTTTGTCATTTTGAATGCCAGCGTCACAAAACTTTGGCTCAATTGGGAAAGCATTTATTTGTGTAAATTGTGTGAAAAGGAAAACAAATGTTGATGTCTTGTAGATGTCCTTTAGGCACATCTTTTATCATATTTTTTTACTTAATGTTTTTGAAGTAAATGTATACCTTGTTGTTGAATTTTCTATCTTCACCAGGTTCAAGCTTGGGTTTTGTCGGTTCTGTACTGTGAAATACAACGCCAATGTTAATGAACTTGACAACATGTTTGTACATCTTACCAATGTGTCTATACAGAAAACAGGAGTATGTTTTTTTTTCTCTTTCCATGAAGTTTAGTTTATACAAATTTATTTTAATGCATTATATAACCAAAAACTATGTATACTAAGCCATATAACCTGTCAGAATTCTTTATAACTGATATTTTGATTTTATAATACTTACATAACATATTATCAGAGAAAGATATATACATGAATTGTTCAAAAGTATATTTTTGTCAACAAGTCTGTGAAATCCATTCTTTATTTTCTCTAATACATCTTTATTTATGAAATACACAACATATTATCTAAAATACATGCATAATATAGTCTGTGTAATTGTGTTTTCAGGATGATTATAATGCAGTGCATGGTGGGAAGTGGACAGTACAGAACCTACGACTGTATTTAGAGAGCACTAGAGGAAAGGATGTTACAGATAAACTCTTCGATGAAATAGACTGGCAAATTGTACACTCATTAAAAGCTGTTTCTGTAAGTTATAATGGCAAATTGTACATTCATTAGAAGCTATTTCCGTAAGTTATAATGGCATATTGTACATTCATTTAAAGCTGTTTCTGTATGTTATAATGGCAAATTGTACATTCATTAAAAGCTGTTTCTGTAAGTTATAATGGCAAATTGTACACTCATTTAAAGCTGTTTCTGTAAGTTATAATGGCATATTGTACATTCATTAGAAGCTATTTCCGTAAGTTATAATGGCATATTGTACATTCATTTAAAGCTGTTTCTGTATGTTATAATGGCATATAGTACATTCATTAGAAGCTATTTCCGTAAGTTATAATGGCATATTGTACATTCATTTAAAGCTGTTTCTGTATGTTATAATGGCAAATTGTACACTCATTTAAAGCTGTTTCTGTAAGTTATAATGGCAAATTGTACACTCATTTAAAGCTGTTTCTGTAAGTTATAATGGCAAATTGTACACTCATTTAAAGCTGTTTCTGTAAGTTATAATGGCAAATTGTACACTCATTAAAAGTTGTTTCTGTAAGTTATAATGGCAAATTGTACACTCATTAAAAGTTGTTTCTGTAAGTTATAATGGCAAATTGTACACTCATTAAAAGCTGTGTCCGTAGTTATCACTAAAATCTGGTACTGTAAGTCATAATGGCAATTCTTAAGTCACTAAAACTTGTTATGTAAAGTTTGACACTCATTTAAAGCTATTTCTGTAAGTTATAATGGCAACTTGTACATTCACTAAAATATGGTATCATAAGTTATAATGGCAAATTGTACACTCACTTAAACTTGTTACTGTAAGTTACAATGGCAAATTGTACGCTCACTTAAACTTGTTACTGTAAGTTACAATGGCAAATTGTACGCTCACTTAAACTTTTTACTGTAAGTTACAATGGCAAATTGTACACTCACTTAAACTTTTTACTGTAAGTTACAATGGCAAATTGTACACTCACTTAAACTTTTTACTGTAAGTTACAATGGCAAATTGTACACTCACTTAAACTTTTTACTGTAAGTTACAATGGCAAATTGTACACTCACTTAAACTTGTTACTGGAAGTTACAATGGCAAATTGTACACTCACTTAAACTTGTTACTGGAAGTTACAATGGCAAATTGTACACTCACTTAAACTTTTTACTGTAAGTTACAATGGCAAATTGTACACTCACTTAAACTTGTTACTGTAAGTTACAGTGGCAAATTGTACACTCACTTAAACTTGTTACTGTAAGTTACAATGGCAAATTGTACACTCACTTAAACTTTTTACTGTAAGTTACAATGGCAAATTGTACACTCACTTAAACTTTTTTACTGTAAGTTACAATGGCAAATTGTACACTCACTTAAACTTGTTACTGTAAGTTACAATGGCAAATTGTACACTCACTTAAACTTTTTACTGTAAGTTACAATGGCAAATTGTACACTCACTTAAACTTTTTACTGTAAGTTACAATGGCAAATTGTACACTCACTTAAACTTTTTACTGTAAGTTACAATGGCAAATTGTACACTCACTTAAACTTTTTACTGTAAGTTACAATGGCAAATTGTACACTCACTTAAACTTTTTACTGTAAGTTACAATGGCAAATTGTACACTCACTTAAACTTTTTACTGTAAGTTACAATGGCAAATTGTACACTCACTTAAACTTTTTACTGTAAGTTACAATGGCAAATTGTACACTCACTTAAACTTTTTACTGTAAGTTACAATGGCAAATTGTACACTCACTTAAACTTGTTACTGTAAGTTACAATGGCAAATTGTACACTCACTTAAACTTGTTACTGGAAGTTACAATGGCAAATTGTACACTCAACTTAAACTTGTTACTGTAAGTTACAATGGCAAATTGTACACTCACTTAAACTTTTTACTGTAAGTTACAATGGCAAATTGTACACTCACTTAAACTTGTTACTGTAAGTTACAATGGCAAATTGTACACTCACTTAAACTTGTTACTGTAAGTTACAATGGCAAATTGTACACTCACTTAAACTTTTTACTGTAAGTTACAATGGCAAATTGTACACTCACTTAAACTTTTTACTGTAAGTTACAATGGCAAATTGTACACTCACTTAAACTTGTTACTGTAAGTTACAATGGCAAATTGTACACTCACTTAAACTTTTTACTGTAAGTTACAATGGCAAATTGTACACTCACTTAAACTTGTTACTGTAAGTTACAATGGCAAATTGTACACTCACTTAAACTTGTTACTGTAAGTTACAATGGCAAATTGTACACTCACTTAAACTTGTTACTGTAAGTTACAATGGCAAATTGTACACTCACTTAAACTTGTTACTGTAAGTTACAATGGCAAATTGTACACTCACTTAAACTTGTTACTGTAAGTTACAATGGCAAATTGTACACTCACTTAAACTTGTTACTGTAAGTTACAATGGCAAATTGTACGCTCACTTAAACTTTTTACTGGAAGTTGCAATGGCAAATTGTACACTCAAACTTGTTACCGTAGGTTATAATGGCAGCTTGTACACTCAATAAAAGTGTAACCAACTTATATTGGCAACTTGTACCTTCACCACTTAAACTTGTTAGTGTAAGTTATAACGGCAAATTGTACATTCACTAAAATCTGGTACTGTAATTTAAAATGGCAAGGTGTTCACTCACTAAAATGTATGTCTTTTACTTGTAATGGCAAATTGTAATGCATTTAACCTTTTACTGTAAGTTACAATGGCAAATTGTATACTCATTAAAAAACTGTTTGACTGTAAGTTGTGATGGAAGAATTGTATTCAAAAATGGCAGAATATAAAATAAAAGTCATATTGTACACTGAGTTAAAGGCATTTCTTTAAGTATTAAAGACAGATTGTTACAGCTAAAAATTATATTCTTTTGTAATTTATGAGACTTAAATTGAGTAAACAATAGATTCTTAAGCTAGCCTTTTTCAATTTATATGACCTAGTTAATTAATCTTGCAAAATAGTAAAATTAAATATAAAAATGAAATAAGTGTATGTAATTTTTCAGGGTGTTATATCAAATGATAGACATTGCATGGAATGTTATGGGTGAGTGCCATTTAATTATATATTTTGATATTTGAAATTAATTGATAAACGGTTTGGTCTTGATTGAAAGATGAGCAAGTTGTTTAAAGATATTTTAAATAGGGTGGAAAAGGTTAAACCAGTAATTTATATGTTACAGGTATGATATTATAATAGATGACAATCTGAAACCATGGTTGATCGAGGTCAATGCCTCCCCATCTCTCACCAGCACAACTTCCAGTGATAGAATTATGAAATATAAACTCATGAATGATGTCATCAACATAGTTATTCCCCCTGGAGAAGCCCCAGAGTAAGTACATAAATATTGTTATCTCCATTGAAAAAGCTCCAGAGTAAGTACATTATATTGTTATCTCCCCTGGAGAAGCTCCAGAGTAAGTACATTATATTGTTATCTCCCTTGAAAAAGCTCCAGAGTAAGTACATTATATCCTCCCCTAGAGAAGCTCCAGAGTAAGTACATTATATTGTTATCTCCCCTAGAGAAGCTCCAGAGTGAGTACATGATATTGTTATCTCCCCTTGAGAAGCTCCAGAGTAAGTACAAAATATAGTTATCTCCCCTAGAGAAGCTCCAGAGTAAGTACATGATATTGTTATCTCCCCTTGAGAAGCTCCAGAGTAGGTACATTATATTGTTATCTCCCCTAGAGATGCTCCAGAGTAAGTACATCATAATATTATCTCCCCTAGAGATAGCTTCAGAGTAAGTACATTATATTGTTATCTCCCCTTGAGAAGCTCCAGAGTAAGTACAGTATATTGTTATCTCCCCTAGAGAAGCTACAGAGTAAGTACAAAATATTGTTATCTCCCCTTGAGAAGCTCCAGAGTAAGTACATTATATTGTTATCTCCCCTAGAGAAGCTCCAGAGTAAGTACATTATATTGTTATCTCCCCTAGAGAAGCTCCAGAGTAAGTACATTATATTGTTATCTCCCCTAGAGAAGCTCCAGAGTAAGTACATTATATTGTTATCTCCCCTAGAGAAGCTCCAGAGTAAGTACATTATATTGTTATCTCCCCTAGAGAAGCTCCAGAGTAAGTACATTATATTGTTATCTCCCCTAGAGAAGCTCTAGAGTAAGTACATTATATTGTTATCTCCCCTAGAGAAGCTCCAGAGTAAGTACATTATATTGTTATCTCCCCTAGAGATTGCTTTAGATTAAATACATTATAGTGTTATCTCCCCTAGAGAAGCTTCACAGTAAGTACATTATATTATCTCCTTTTAAAGGTAATTTATACAGACTGTATTTACAGTATGCAATGTGTTAGTCACTTTCTTTCTTCACGTCACAATATTTTACTTTTAAATGTATTTTCCAAATTATTATGAAAATAAGCATGGATCTTGAGGTAATAGCGTGCAAGGAAATTATTGGTTGAATTTTATGATATCTTTCTCTCAATATTATTTTTTAAGTGGCCATTCAACACGTAGCTGCAATTTTACTTTTACTGAAATTAGCCCATTTAGTCGTAATCACTTGATTTTTACTCGGTATTTAACTTAATATCATCCATTTCCCGCTTCTTTCAACAACTTAAGATGTCATATTCTCTACCTGCAACCAAAACTGGTATTTCAAGAAACGAGTTTAACATGACAAAATATTTGATTTGTTTTTCCCATTAATTCTATTAAAGCAGGACGGTATGTCAACAACTTCAAGGGTCTGACACAATACGCATCTACCTCACAGAACGATTCTGTCGTAATTTAATACTTATGTTTGGAGTCTTCGTTATATTAAACAATGATACATGTATCTACATGATGTGATATCTTCCTTATTCTACTCACATTAAAAAGTGTTCATTCCAATTTTTATAAATCGGCCGCATCATATTACTATCATGTGTAAAGAGATTTACTTGGAAAACATCTTGACACTGGAAATAAATAACGACCAACAAAATAAATCCATTTATTGTTTAATTACTTAAAGTAAGTAAACCCTGAAGGTGTTCCCTGTTGCAAGGACAATATATCAAGTGTGGTTTGAATAGATGAAATTAGTTTTATCCACTAATAATTTTCCTTGAAATTGAAAATGAAAAAAAAAATCCTAGAAATTCTCTTTCTTAAATATGGTACCTAATGCGAGTGTTTTGTCAGGGGTTCAAGGTTACCCGGCTGTATTTTAATAAGTGTTTACCAGAAAGTCTATACACTTGTATGTCCCTAGATGTCTTTAGATCTATTTATAAACATTTTATTTTAATGTTTATATGGCATAGCTTTAGAATAAGTAAAACAATAATGTTATTATTTAACATATCATGCACAGGGACAGAGTGACCGTGACGGACTTAATGTAGTTTATGTGAACTTAATATAGTCTCAATAAGACAGTCATGTAGATCTTTTATAATAGAATATAGTGTGACACATATGTTTCAGAAAAACAACGTTCTTTGGGGCAAATAGATTTAAACATTTTATGAGACTTGTTTGTATTTTTGTATTAAAGATTTGCTTTTATATACATATACTGATCCGCGCACTGTTTAAAAAACTGCTTGGCGCTGATTGGAAAAGCGTCCGTCATATCATTCCCTGCGGTCCAGAGACCGCAGAGTATTGGTACGCGTTTTACTTTTGAGGCATGGAGGAGCACGTGACCAGTTTTCGGTGCATGGAGGAGCATGTGATCTGTAAACCGTACATGATTGGTTAATTGACCTTTTCGATATCCTGGCTAAATACCGTTTGTCGTTACTTTACGGAATTACCTCGAAGGAATTAGTCAGAATTAAACCTAATTAAGAACAAAAACCTATTACGTGATATTTCTAATTTTCTATAATTATTTTACCGTTTAAGGTGGAAAAACTTGAATGATTTATTTGAAAATTATCATTGTTTCTTTAATATATGTATCTCAAATTTTACAAACAATAAATTGTTTATACTGAAAATCTACAAAATTAAAATATTCGTAGTGGCATCTGCCATAATAAATAGAGATATTTTCTGCGTAAACTTGTGTGTTTACTTTTTTTTTTTTTTGCTTTTAATTATTCATAATATGGTAGGCCTATTTAATCATTTTCTTAAAAAGAAATAATTGTTTTATGTTCGACCTTCTCCGGTCCTCAACGGTCACCAGTTTTGAAAGACCTTCTATATTGATCGATTATTGTCAACTATATTCCCGATATAAACGTTTATTTATTTATTCCCCTCTGCCAAAACGGTGTTGAAAATAGTTAAATGAAATATCTTTATATCATGAAAAATGTTCCCCGCAGGAAACCATTTTTACTTGTTAAGGAATGTTGGCATGAAATTTGATGTCATATTTCTACGATTACAATATTTGACTATTATGTTGGAAATGTCATGTCACGGCTCAAATGTAAAGTTGATACAGTCATACATTTGATAAACGGTCACCCAAGGGAGAGACAAAATGTGGTCTTTATTGATAAGTGGTCTTTAATTGGAGGTTACTTTATTGAGTTTATTCCATTTTAACAATGAAAGGTTGTCAAAATAGTAGCCTTTATTTACAGGTTTATCTGTACTCAGAGGTGGTCTTTAACAAAGGTATGACTGTATGACATGTTGAAATGATTTAATGCAATTTGGGAGACCAACAAAATGTGCCAAAAGCTGATGTTGAGTTACTTCCCCTATATTGAATGTGTCACAGTTTGTTTTGTTGTTTGGCTGCATGCTCCATGATAATTGTTTCTTTCATTTTTCAGTGTAAGATGGAATAAAACAGTTGCAAAAGAAAACTTAGGGAACTTCTATGTGTTGTAAGTATTTTACATGTGTGATTAATAACCAATAAAAATAATAAAGGAATAGAACAATATTTATGTTGTTTTGTCAGAAGGCATAGACCATCAGAATTTTTTGATGTTTGCCCATCATTTAGATTTATTACAGTGTTAAGTTGATTGTTTGTCTGTTAGGGAATTGTTTCCTTGTATAGGCTGAAATGTCTAGAGCGTTGTTACTTTCACTTTTAATAAAGAGGTGGTAAGTTTGAATCCCAGCCACTTTGGGCATTTGTATCTTTCTGTTACTTATGAAAAATGTTCATAAGAAAGCCTAAAAAATAGTTTATAGTCTGGCTGAAAAAATTATTAATACAAGTGGGACATGATAGTGCTCCTCTACTCTAAGGAATGAATTTTACACTTTCTGTAGAAAAAGTTATGTGATCTTTTATTTTTTTTGTTTCTTACATCCTTGCCAAATTTTATATGTTTAAGTTGTTGTTTTACCCAAAATTCATTCGGGACTTCTATTTCTGCTGAGCTTTTGTAATACAAATTTTGAAAAAAAAAATTTGCTTTATATTTAAGGTATGATGAAGATCTTGCTCAGTCTGACCCAATAACCCTTGACCCCAGGAACAAGCTGGGTCCCGGTGCTCTTGGCATGAGAGGTGTTAGGGAACCAAAAGGTCGACCCTCTCCAGCAACCTGGAAATGATCAGACATTTTCCAATCTCTGTCTCTGAAGATTGCATTCTGTTAAATGTGGGGACAAAGTTTTAAGAAATTCATGTATAAATGTCTATGAACAAGTTCAAAATCATGGAAATGAACTTTTTTGTTCAAGATGATTGCTGGATATGAGAGCTGATCTGTGATATAATTTTATCATTTATACATAAAAAACATGAAATCATAGTTATTTAATTTAACATTTGAATTAATTTTACATTTGTAGGCTGTATGATATATTTTATTGAAGGATAATTTCATGCTGGACTTTACTTAAACAATATTACTTTTTACTGTAAGTGCAGAATGACCAATAGTGAAGCCAGCCAAGTTTCTTGCACACATTTTGTGTATTTCTATATTCCTATTTGAAAATGTCAACTTAATATGTGTGTAAAATATGTACAACTTGTTTAAGAATATTACAGGAAGCGGCTTTGTATGTTATGCATTTTATTTTCGATTTAATTGATTATGTATATAAAGTAAAATGTATAATGTCATCTAATTACTGTATAAAACTAGTCAGTACAATACAAAACTGTACAATAAAAAATGATACAATAAAGTCCAGAATAATACAATACAGTAAAGAATAATACAGTACAATACAAAATAATCCAAAACATTACAATACAGTACAATCAAATACAATACAGAATAATAAAGTACAATACATTAAGAACAATACAATACAGAATTAAACAATACAGTACAATATAGAATAGTACAGTACAATACAATACAGAATAATACAATACAAAGTAATATAATACAATACATAACACAAAACAGTAAAGAATAATACATTTCAATACTTTTTAATACAGAATAATCCAAAACATTACAATACAGTACAATTAAATAAAATATAGAATAATTCAATACAGTACAATACAGATTAATACAGTACAATGCAATACAGTACAAAAATAATACATTACAATGCAATACAGATTATTTCGATACAGAATAATACAATACAATACTTGTTCATTTCTCTTCCAGGCCTTTGGGCCATGCAAAATCCTATATACAAGGTAATAATTAACTTACTGATCAAGATTCATATCTAAGAGAAAGCCGAGTAGTTTGATATTCAGGTAATTATATGACAAATAATTGAATGTCAGGAAATGTTTACTGATGTGTTTCGCTTCTGACGCAAGGATAATGTAATGTAGTTGTGCTGTGATTGTTTTATATAAATAAAGAATACATTTTTTATTCAACAGGTAAAGATTTGTGTTGTTTTTACGCCAATTTAAAAAAAATTTGGTCATATCTCATAGGTTGATCTGCCTTCCCAGCTTTCCTGGATAACTAACCAGTAATTACTATTTCCTGGATAAACTAGAACTGCCATTATCATGGCGTGAATACCCCCGCATACCACTTTGTCAGAATCAACAGTGGCCATTTAGAGCTCAAGGACAACCTCCCTGCCAAATCTGAGGTTACTTAGCCAGTGCATTGCTAAGTTATGTATTCTACATGCTTCAAATGTGAAAATGTCAAAATCAATACATTGTGGACAGGACATTCTTTAGTAATTGAGAAGAAAAGCTTTTTTTTGTCAAGGTCCCTGTGACCTTGACCTTTGACCCAGTGACCTCAAAATCAATAGGGGTCACCTTATAGTCATGATCAACATCCATGCCAAATATGAAGACTGTGGGTCGAAGGAATCTTAAGTTAATGGGTGGACAAACTTTTTGAAGTCAAAGTCCCTATGACCCTGACCTTTGATCCAATGACCTCAAAATCAATAGGGGTCATCTACTTATCATGACTAACCTCCATGCCAAATATGAAGACTGTGGGTCAAAGGAATCTTAAGTTATAGGGCGGACAAGCTTTTCGAAGTCAAGGCCCCTGTGACCTTGACCTTTGACCTCAAAGTCAATAGGGGTCATCTACTAATCATGACTAACCTCACTGCCAAATATGAAGACTGTGGGTCAAAGGAATCTTAAGTTATTGGGCACACAAGCTTTTTGAAGTCAAGGCCCCTGTTACCTTGACCTTTGACCTGGTGACCTCAAAATCAATAGGGGTCATCTACTAATCATGACTAACCTCCATGCCAAATATGAAGACTATGGGTCAAAGGAATCTTAAGTTATTGGGCAGACAAGCTTTTCGAAGTGAAGGCCCCTGTGACTTTGACCTGGTGACCTCAAAATCAATAGGGGTCATCTACTAATCATGACTTACCTTCATGCCAAATATGAAGACTGTGGGTCAAATGAATCTTAAGTTATTGGGCGGACAAGCTTTCTGAAGTGAAGGCCCCTGTGACCTTGACCTTTGACCTGGTGACCTCAAAATCAATAGGGGTCATCTACTAATCATGACTAACCTCCATGCCAAATATGAAGACTATGGGTCAAAGGAATCTTAAGTTATTGGGCGGACAAGCTTTTTGAAGTGAAGGCCCCTGTGACCTTGACCTTTGACCTGGTGACCTCAAAATCAATAGGGCTTATCTACTAATCATGACTTACCTCCATGCCAAATATGAAGACTATGGGTCAAAGGAATCTTAAGTTATTGGGCGGACAAGCTTTTTGAAGTGAAGGCCCCTGTGACCTTGACCTTTGACCTGGTGACCTCAAAATCAATAGGGGTCATCTACTAATCATGACTAACCTCCATGCCAAATATGAGGACTGTAGGTCAAAGGAATCTTAAGTTATTGGGCGGATAAGCTTTTTGAAGTGAAGGCCCCTGTGACCTTGACCTTTGACCTAGTGACCTCAAAATAAATAGGGGTCATCTACTAATCATGACTAACCTCCATGCCAAATATGACGACTGTAGGTCAAAGGAATCTTAAGTTATTGGGCGGACAAGCTTTTTGAAGTCAAGGCCCCTGTGACCTTGACCTTTGACCTAAAAATCAATAGGGGTCATCTACTAATCATGACTAACCTCCATGCCAAATATGAAGACTAAGGGTCAAAGGAATCTTAAGTTATTGGGCGGACAAGAGAAAACCGACGGACAGCCGGACGGACGGCCGGACAAGCTGATTCCAGTATACCCCCCTTACAACTTTGTTGTGCGGGGGTATAATAACCAGTAATTACTATTTCCTGGATAAATAACCAGTAATTACTATTTCCTGTATGACTAACCAGTAATTACTATTTCCTGGATGAGTAACCAGTAATTATTATTTCCTGGATGACTAACCAGATTTAACTATTTCCTGGATGACTAACCAGTAATAACTATTTCCTGGATGACTAACCAGTAATTACTATTTCCTGGATGACTAACCAGTTATTACTATTTCCCGGATAATAACCAGTAATTACTATTCCTGAATAACTTAGCAGTAATTACAATTTCCTGGATAATAACCAGTAATTACTATTTTCTGGATAACTAAGCAGTAATTACAATTTTCTGGATAACTAACCAGTAATTACTATTTTCTGGATAATAACCAGTAATTACTATTTCCTGGATAACTAACTAGTAATTACTATTTTCTAGATAACTAAGCAGTAATTACAATTTTCTGGATAACTAACCAGTAATTACTATTTTCTGGATAATAACCAGTAATTACAATTTTCTGGATAACTAACTAGTAATTACTATCTTCTGGATAATTTTATTGAGTAAATCCCTGCTTGATTATTATAAATGTATAAAATTGTCACAAAAATAGGCACAAACCCTTCAGTAGTTATAGAAATACCAGCTTACACGCAAAAAATTAACCTGGAACTTTTAAGTGGAAAAAAGGGGCATAAATATGAAAAAAATCAAACAGATGGGACTTGTGCCAATCATGTTAGATTATCACAGAAAACAAGTGTATGAAGTGTCAATCCATTCCCTTCAGTATTTTTGAAGATACCAGCTTACACGTAAAAACTTAACCACAGGGACGCTGATACCAACAAATGGGCTACTGCATTAGCTCAATTATTCTGCGAATAGTAAAGCTAAAAATGAAAATACTTGCATTTTTTTTTAGACACAACAGCCTTTCCGGAAAGTATAGTACCTTAAGCAATTTCTTAAAAAATGCTTACCATCAAAAGAAATAACTAACAAAATATGATTTTCACAATCTTTTTTTTCTCTCTTTTAATAAAAAATATTTTATTTCAATAAAACAATAACAACAAAAATAGTGCATAAAATTATAACAAAGCACAACCATTACCAAGTAGTGTAATATTGCATTTCAATCCCATCATTCATTTTTAACCCTTACCCTGCCGGTAGACACTGAATCTACCTATGTGACAAATGCGGACCACGATCAGCCGGCACATTCATGCCCACAGTCTGCACAGTTCGCTTTTCAATCAATACATCTTTTTGAAAATGATTTGAGCTGTGTCATGACAAAACCAACATAATGGGTTTGCGACCAGCATGGATCCAGACCAGCCTGCGCATCCGCGCAGTCTGATCAGGAGCCATGCTGTTCGCTATCAGTTTCTCTACTTGTAATAGGGTTTGTAAGCCAACAGCATGGATCCTGATCAGACTGCGCGGATGCGCAGGCTGGTCTGGATCCATGCTGGTCGCAAACGCATTATGTTGGTTTTGTCATGACGCGGCTCATTTATAATTTTGACAAGATAGAGAGATAGACAAGTGCATGTAACATATTTAGCATGGTAAGGATAAATATGATTAGAGTGTTTAATTCAATGAACTTAAGATGAAATTGAGTGTTATGGCAATGAACATGGCTGTTCTATTTTACTCCCTCCGATAACAAAATTTTGGGAAAATTTCCATTCCCACTTTTTATAGTAATTTAATAAGTGTTTTAAATGTTTGTATAATCACTATCCTGGTAACCTGGTTTGCCATACAAAAAGATAAACAATACTGAAGGACAAAATTAATGGCCGTAAATGATATTCCTTCGATAACATTTAGCCTGCATGTAAAAACAAATTCTGCCAATGTGGCAAGTACAGACCGACATCAGCTGATACATACACGGCGTCTGATCGTGATCTGCACTATTGGCTTTTCATTCAGTACTTATTAAAAAAAATCTCCCTTAAAATGATGAATGGTTTTGTCTAGAATAAAAGATGGGCAAGTTCATTTAAGATATTTAGTGTGGTAAAGGTATTCATTACTGCCAATGAGAATTAAACATGAAATATGTGACAAAAATTGAAAATACAAGTTTAGTCAAGTTATTAACAAGTAAATTATGAACCTGTATCAAAAAGCCCATGAATAACTTAAAAATATTCAACAAGAAAAATTAAACTTAAATACTCAATTTTTTTTTTTTTAACTTTTGAATATTCAAAAAAAAAAAATTTAAACTGTCTCCATCACAACTTGTTCTTCATTTGAAATTTATAAAGAAATAATTTAAACATCTTTTACAACAAACAAAACAAATAACACAACACAAATCAAAATTTATAAAACAGTCACATATATGCAAAGAAATGGAAGACGAAACAGAACCCAATTCTGTGTTGCCTTTGACTTGTACTCACTTATTGCAAAGATGAAATTAGGTCAAACAACCAAATATAATTGTTCTTCTTTCCAGTTTAAGTAATGGTCTAATAAATACTGAATGTAAATTAAATACTTATAATGGTAAATCTTACTAAAAGTAATACAATAATAATTATTCCGTGTTTCGGACAAAATTCTTTTTCACAATTACATTGTATTATATGTGTAATGACTTTGAAGAAATTTTAATTTGTGCATCAAACATAAAATGCTCAAGAAAAACAATATGTGCAATTAACTTTGTAGAATGCTCGATACTCGATCTTAAATAAACTTTAAATATTATAATCTGTAAAACTTTAAGAAAAATAATTAAAAAAAACACACAAAGTAACAGAGAACAAATTTCAACATTTTTAGTCATAAAACAAAAAGTCAAAAGAACAGTGGAATTTCACAATCACAATAAAATGGATTTCAAAAACACATATTAGACATGTCTAGTGATTTTTGTCCTAGTGGTAAAAAAATTTGTTTTGTAGAATCATTTTGTTATGCTGATGTTTAACCTGAATCACAGGGGGCACAGGGTGGGGGCTGCTCCATTACAAAGGAAGACTTTATATAAACTAAAGTTGGCACAATTTTTTTTCTATTTTTCAAAATTTACCCTTTTCCCTTTTCTTACTATTTAAACAAAGATCTACTTGGCCAAGCTGCTTTCTATCTCTTTGAATTGATGATTTGGCTGCACAAGTTTTTATCTGCCATTGTTAACCTTGTGACTACTTAATACTTACTAATTTTACACCTTAATCTTGTAATTTGAAATGGTTTATATGGTTACAACATATATATAACATAACCTTGGATTGCAATAATTGCGGCATTTGCCACTATAGACTATAGCAAAAACATAAACTTAATCCAACTTTTCACTTGTCTGTTCCACAGTAAACTGTTTTAAGTAGTAGGCATTCTGACTTGGAAATTTGTTGACAAAATAAAAAGACTGAGATCTACTTATCCCTATGGCATGTCTACGTCCCCTCGAGGGGTTTGACATTGATGAAGAGAGATAGATCTATACTAAAACTGATAATTGCTTTGAGTTTTGATTTAGTAAATGATGATTGGGAAATGTAGCTTAATTAATATTTGAGATCAGATGCTTCTTGATAAATACAATATTACATAAATCAATGAATAAAAACATAAGTTTGTAAATTCAGAATATGTGCTATAAAAAATATGCAATAACTGAGTTTCTCAGACATCCAAGGGCACTTTATTATCAGTCATCTGACCATATTTAAATTTCAGCCATCCAACCACATTTTATTTTCAGCCATCTGACCATATTTAAATTTCAGCCATTCAACTGCATTTTATTTTCAGCCATCCAACCACATTTTGTTTTCAGCCATCTGACAATATTTAAATTTCAGCCATCCAACTGCATTTTATTTTCAGCCATCCAACCACATTTTATTTTCAGCCATCTAACCACATTTTAGAAGTGTATATGACCAGAATATTATTTCCTTAGACTAGAACACACTTTTTTCTCATACATACTGCAGATAAAAAATCTTTGTACAAGCACATAAAGTACATATTTCCTGATATGTTACCACCATCCCATCACAAGTCAATCTGACTTCAACACCATATAAAATATATTCCGGATATATTCATCACAACATCACCATTTCAGCCCATCTTCAGTTCATCATTCAATCACACAGAATCCTAAGTTTTTCTGAACACTGCAACTGGTGAAGGTCCATTTCACCCATGTCTTTCATGGACTTTTCAAATCAATATTGTACATTGTTTTAAAGGTCAAATTTTTATTCACATTCAGATAAGTTCTTACTTTCCAGTTTTTCTGGTGAAAAATAGAACCTCAGTGGTGCCCCTCAGAATGTGATTTCAGACAAAGGCAGGAAATAAGAGTAGAAATATTGACCTTCTGTAACCTAGATGAAAAGACTTAGGTACAAAAATTACATGTGACCTGTTTAAAATCGACACAAATTCAAGCACCTTGCAAGTCGTTATTCTCATCATTCCTTTATTGGTAGTTTATTTACTCTCATACAATTAATGAGTCGTAACCTCTGTTTAGCTGGTTCAAATGTGGATTGTAGACCGAGCGTCGATTCATAGAACATTGCCGCTAAGTCCCATTGTCCCTGTAAGAATACGACAGTGTTAAACAATAATTGTGTTATCATTAGATAAACTGAAAATTAAGATATATCTTCAAGGCATCTTGTAAACATGGTCCGAACATAATAATGTCTAGTTTGTTTGTTTTGTTAGGTTTTAAATCATCGTCACCTAAGTACAATAACTGGTTAACTTCTATTAAATTTAGAAGGACTTAACCCGTTACTGCACTAAGGTGACGATATATGGCAATTTTACAGCTTAACTTGTTGAAAAGGACCACTGCTGCACCGACATGCATTATTTTAGACGGTATGGGCATATTGACATCAAAGCAATTACATTTTGTATTTCAGTGTTTTTCTTTTATTAAAATTGGTGTAAGAGTTAGCCTGACAGCTAGACTGACAGTCGGCCTAAAACAAGTATTTCATTGAGAAGGGGGTTACATAAACTAAACTAAACATAAACCTAATAATATGCAATATTGTACAGACCTCCATTAAAAACTCTAATAATATTTAAGTGTAAACAAATAAACAGCCTCGAGGTTATAAACATTTTCCTGAGCTCTGGAATCACAGGATTCCCATTGGTCAATTCACATTTTTTGCTGGTTTATAACCAATCACATAATAGAGATGTGCGTTTGGTTTATACAGAATTTATTATAATTTGACCCTGTCGGAAGCTTGTAGCTTATAGACAAACTCTTAAATATGTGCCTGGAACCAACCAGTACTGAGCAATGAGTGTTAAGTTTCTTGCTCATACAAACAAAGGCTTGCACTTTAAAGTGATTTGAACCCACATGGATAGCAATCCTTTTAGAGCTAGTCGGACACATTAACCACTCGGCCATGCTGCTTTTATACCCGAGTTTGAGTTGATTAATTTCTGAACAATCACAGACCAAGCTGTGTCATTCCATATCAATTTTGGTACTCTTTTAGTTTACCTTGGCAGCGTATAGATTTGCCATGTTAAAATGCCCGACAACCAGACCTGGTGATAAATCCATTGAATAACTGGCAGCTACAATTGCATCGTTTAAGAACCCTGCTCTGTGAAGAACATTCGCTATACTTAATAATGCCACATCCTGAAAAATAAATTATTTAATTGTTTAATAAAGGGTATATTGTCCAGGAGAATAAAGCATCTTGTCAGGGCAAGAACATTTTGTAATTTAGGATTGGACAAGCGGATGAATGTGTTATTTCTTTAATAATATTCGCAACCAAGAGATTGTAAGTAATTGGTTTTGTTTTAATTTGCCTATGTCTATATTATACCTTAGAATGAAACAGAATAACATTTGCCTATACCATATTGGTTGCTTAGTCTTAACCATACATTAAAACGTTCAAAAGCTACACCATACCAAATCACCTTTAGGTGTTGCTTATACCTATGCCATACCTTAGAAACATACAGTTATTTATGTTTATACCAATTATTACAATGTTTATACAGAGTTGCTGATAACATTACAGAGACATTAAAGTCTATACCATACCTAAGAATTTAAAAAATATTTATTTGAATATCACAGAATTGCTTAAAGGCCCATTATGCATCAGAAATGATTTTATTTTCATTTCACAAAAGCTTTTTATTTTTGCATCCTGCTATAGTTTCCAAAAAGTTACTCCTTGCCAAATATCTAGACCATTTAATTTGCTTTTGTTGCATTTTGGCAATTTGTAAAAATACAGCAATTTAGTATTTTGAATGGAAACCAAAATACTACTTTTTTCACATTTTGCTACTTTTATGACAAATAATTTCACATCCAGCGCTTCTCTTTTCAGGTGATAAGCATCTAAAAATTAATGCTCTAAAACCATTATTCCAACATCATAAAACTCATGTTTTCCTTTTCAAAGGATTAAAAAATATCATATGTGATGCATAATGTGCCTAAATCAAGTCTATACCATACCTTAGAATGTTTCGGAGCTGAATGAACAGCCACTCTCAGACACTCTATGGCTCTATTAGCATCGCCTTTAACTCTCCAATATAGCCCAGCAATATTAGCTATAATCCAGGATGTCTCATTCTATAAACATAATACATATATATTAAACTGTGTAAAAGCTATATTTCTGATGGTAGTTTCCCAAAGTTATTTTTTGAATTTTGAAAAAAATACTACTAAAATATGTGTATGAAAGAAATAAGTTTCTCATCAACTTAAGCAGCACGCCTCCAGATTCATATAAATTTTCATGAAAATTTTGGAAATGTATTTAAAAGTAAAATATTGCAATGTGAACAAATACAGTAATTTACATATTGCAATCAGCACTTACAATACACGAAAATTAACAAAAAGTGGTCAACATATGCAAAAAACAGCCCTAGCTAGCTAGCTAGCTTACTGCGGTAGAAACGCAGTAGAATTATGGTGATAAAATACTGCCAAATCAGTCTTAAACCACATATAACAAGTAAAATATAACTTGGATTTTGAATGTTTTAACATTCTTAAAAGTTTAGTGCATTTTTCTCCATATTAATTTTCTTGAAATATTTTGGCTCATCTGGAGGCTTGCAGCTTTAAAAGTGAATGGCACACACACACACACACACAATCATTACTTTGACCAGCTCAAATCACTTAATTTGTTAATTTTCAATAGCTTTAGCATTTTGAACCCTTTAAAAAATTTCATACATTTCCAATTCAACATGGACGAATGCTTCTGGAAGCAAACGTACCTTTTTCAAAGCTTTAGCAATTCTTGTTCCCATTACTTGCACTGATTCCTGTTTACCTCCAATCCTCTGTAAGACCTACAAAATTTATCAAAAAATAAAAATAGATTTTTTATACAGTGAATGAGTTTATACTTTAACATTCAAACAAGCATCTCCAGTCCATATCTCATTGGTAGATTTCTATTATAAGTTCTAAGTTTATAAATCTTTGAAATACATGTAGATATCTTGCCAGTTCGTAGAGTTTATGAAAATGTACAACTGGTAATATAGAAATGTTAATAAGATACAACTGGTAACATAGAAAGTTTATGAATAAGTTACAACTGGTAACATAGAAAGTTTATGAATAAGTTACAACTGGTAACATAGAAAGTTTATGTATAAGTTACAACTGGTAACATAGAAAGTTTATGAATAAGTTACAACTGGTAACATAGAAAGTTTATGAAAATGTACAACTGGTAACATAGAAATGTTAATACTGGTAACATAGAAAGTTTATGATTAAGTTACAACTGGTAACATAGAAAGTTTTTGTATATGTTATCATTGGTAACATAGAATACTTATGAATAAGTTACAACTGGTAACATAGAAATTTTATGTATAATTATAACTGGTAACATAGAAAGTTAATGAATAAGTTACAACTGGTAACATAGAAAGTTTATGAATAAGTTACAACTGGTAACATAGAAAGTTTATGTATATGTTACAACTGGTAACATAGAATTGTTAATACTGGTCACATAGGAAATTTATAAGTCACAACTTGTAACATAGAAAGTCAACAAGAAGCGCCGCAATGCGACGAAAACCAGGTTTTCAACGACGAAGTTTTGATGTGACAGCAATCAATAAGTCGAAAAGCACTGAAGTTATTGAGTAGAAGCTGAAAATTCTATTGTAAGCAAATGACCTTGAACTTGCTCCCAGATATCTTAGTGGCAATCCAAAGCTGCCACTCAGCAAGTTTGGTGTCAAAAGGTCAAAGCAAACTCAAGTTATAACGTGAAAACTAAATACATGTACATTAACATTGATCACAGACACCTGGGTAGCAATCAAGCTGCCTCTTGATAAAAGCTATCCATACACCAAGTTTGGTGTCAATTGGCCAAACCAAACTTGAGTTATTGAGCGGAAAATGAATTTCTATTTTGAGTCACAGTGACCTTGACCTTGATCACAGACACCTGGATAGCAATCCCAAGCTGCCTCTTGATATAAGCTATCCATACACCAAGTTTGGTAAGCAAACTAGAGTTATAGAGCAGCAACTGAATTTCTATTTTTAGTAACAGTGACCTTGACCTTGATCACAGACACCTTGGTAGCAATCCCAAGCTGCCTCTTGATATAAGCTATCCATACACCAAGTTTGATGTCAATAGGCCAAAGCAAACTTAAGTTATTGAGCAGAAACTGAATTTCTATTTTTAGTAACAGTGACCTTGACCTTAATCACAGACCCCTGGGTAGCAATCCCAAGCTGCATCTTGATATAAGCTATCCATACACCAAGTTTGGTGTCAATAGGCCAAAGCAAACTCAAGTTATTGAGCGGAAACTGAATTTCTATTTTTAGTAACAGTGACCTTGACCTTGATCACAGACATCTGGGTAGCAATCCCAAGCTGCCTCTTGATATAAGCTATCCATACACCAAGTTTGGTGTCAATAGGTAAAAGCAAACTCAAGTTATTGAACGGAAACTGAATTTCTATTTTTAGTAACAGTGACCTTGACCTTGATCACAGTCACCTGGGTAGCAATCCCAAGCTGCCTCTTGATATAAGCTATCCATACACCAAGTTTGGTGTCAATAGGCCAAAGCAAACTTAAGTTATTGAGCGGAAACTGAATTTCTATTTTGAGTAACAGTGACCTTGACCTTGATCACAGACACCTAGGTAGCAATCCCAAGCTGCCTCTTGATATAAGCTACCTACACACCAAGTTTGGTGTCAATAGGTCAAAGCAAACTAAAGTTATTGAGCGGAAACCAAAAGTTGACGCCTGCCCGCCCGCCCGCCCACTTCGGCATTACAATAACCCGGTTTTCGTTGAAAACCTGGTTAATGAATTAGTTTATCTACAATGATAACTTGACAACTCACCTCTCTAAGACCAGTTTCAGCATGATAGTTCAGTTGATTTCTGTGATGAACGCCAGGTAACTCGTCTACAACTACTGTGGCGGGAATCTCATATGAACACATTGGTTCATTATGCTCATCTTTGTTCACTTTTGCTTTAAAATCAATATGCTGTCCAATGCTGTAATTCAGAATATATGTTGACAGTTTTTTGTTGGGTTTTAAGTTATATAGACTACACAGGCTTGGGGTGTGGAGGTCAAAATGTGTAGGTTTTTTTTTTATTAAGTTTTATTGATACATATGACAAGTATATGTGCTGGGATTGACAAATATACAATTTATTTGGATTTTAACACATTTTGAGCTAAACTGCCCAATTGTCTGTGATATAGACACTGTAAAAATTTTAACTACATATATTGCAACCAAGCAGCTTTACTTGATATTTAAGAAACAATTAGTCATCACCTTAGTGCAGTAACATGTAAATCTTAACTTATCAATTTATCATATTAATGATTTTTATGATTGAATTTATCTTTAATAAACTAGTTTTAAAGCACATTTTTATAGTTCTAATTGGCGCCCCCCTTTGAAAAAATGCAAGCCCCCGGGGGGTGATAAATAGAGATAATACCATATACAGAAACTTACTTGATTTTTTTCACAGATAGAGACAGCCAAGTACTTGAGAACTTCTGTAGGTCTAGTTTAGGCATTTTCTTACATTCCTCTGCTTTTGGTATTGGTAGATGGAATCGTATTCCTATATACTTTAATGTGTCTAAAAAGTATTATAATATAACATCAAATGAGTATATAACAAATAAAGATGCTTCAAGTTATATGTATCTTCACAAAACTGACCATTTTGTTTCTATGAACTCTGGAATAAAAAGTTACTACACTTACATCGGGAAACCGAATGTGCAAGTCTCATCAAATAAAGTTGTTACTTACTACATTTACAAGTCAATGAAAGTTAGCATTCATAAAATCTATTCATTTAATTCTAATTGTTAATACTTCTTTAATTTTTTATTTGTTAAATCTTGATCTAAGACCACATACATTCTACATGCATACTAGAAGCTGTACTGATTGTAGTCACAATCTTTCAGGTCAATTTACTACTTTCTTAATCTATCTAATCAAAGCACACACCATCATTTCTGAGGCCCACATGGAAGATCGGGAAACCAAATGTGTAAGCCTCGTTCAAGAAAGTCATTACTTACTGAATAACTTATTTACTTACATCATCATGTAAAATTTGCAATGAATTTGTTTTCCTTTGAATTTGAAACTGCCAATTGTTAAATTATGAGTCCGTAAACCACAATAGGTTGACAAACTCACACAACTTTTGACAGAAAAAATTATGGAAAGCTACCCCCCCCCTCCAATTCAGGTAGGTTTTTGCGTCTATCTTTCATAATGTACATTGATTAAACTCATAAAACAGTTTTATTAATGTTTAATTTTTTATTCTTTTTTTATTCCCTTTTTCTAAACATTGTGCAGCTTTTATGCGAATATTAATTAACCCTTAATGTGCTGCAACTGAAGGTGATTAGCCTTTGCCACCAGTATAGAGCCAGGCCAGCATGCACATCCAAGCAGTCTGACCAGGCTCTATACTGTTGGCTGACAAACTTTAAATATTCAAAGTCATATCCCTAAAATTGATAATAGACAGTCCCGAAATGGAAGTGAGACAAGTCCATTTAAAATATTCAGCATATTCAGGTTTAATTAAATTTTGAATTACCTGGGAGATCCTCATCAGCTAACTGCATTATCTCCCTTTTCAATTCTTTCCCTTCAATAGCTTCTCCTTCTTGGGGATTATTTATCACAATATGCGCCTGAAAAGGCGGGACTTTCTCAATACTGCCTTCCTCCTTCGACTTAGCTCCACCCACTTTTAAGTTAGCCCCATCCTTTTTTGACGGTCTTCCTATCTGGATATGCAAATGATCTTTCAAACTGCCTGGCTTCATTTGGATTGGTAGAATCTTCGTCACGTGACCATTGATAAACAAGGTAACTGCCTCAGGATTGTTGTTCAAGTCATGGAACTGTTTCACCTACATATAACAAACAAAATTTCTAATTTAAATGTATACAATTCTAGAAATAAGTACCAAATACAGTTAATCACTTATCTTTTCCAAAACAAAAAAGTGTTGGTTTTGTTTTTTAAAATCTCGGAAAAAAGTGGTTTGTTTTTAAATCACTAAGTTACAGTTTTACAACACTAGTCACCAAAATATTTGAATATACACATTTATAAACTTTGAAATTAAGTCAAAACACAATATTCTTGAAAATACAATTCAATACAAATTTTGTTTATTCTTTAGAATGGCGAAGAAAAAAGCAGATTTTTTTTTGTTTCATTACAGTAATATGTTAGTTAAATGTATTACCGTATGCATACAGTGATTAATTAATGGAAAAATAAAGTAAATTATTTACATAATAAATAAATCACGTGAACACGCAAAATATTCAAGATACGCAGAAAAACACAATGTCCTATGTTAAAATGATGGTTTTTATATAAAAGCACAGCAGTTACACATGTTTTGTAAACAAATTACATATATTATTACACAATTATTACATAATTACTATGTCGAACGAATTATTTCATACACATAACTACATGTAAAAGAACTTTTATTGAACAAATATTATTTTTATAATCTTTGGGTGCGGCCATACCATGTGGTACATGATGAAAATTTCACTTCTTCTTTTTTTTTATCTTTCTTTTTTTTCAAGTTTACTTGCAAAGAATTTATTTAAGATCGTTTCACTTCATCTGCTTATACTGATACCTCTTAAGTAGTATTATATTTTTTTTATTTCTTTACATTATCTTTCATCAGTTTTCTTTGCGACATTATGCAATAGCACATTCATGCTATATATGCAATTATCAAAAATACTACACAGAGATAGTATACACAAAAAACGGTTTGCACCAATTTAAAGAGAATGGCAATTTTAAGATCAAAATAAATCAAAATTAGAACCAATGAGTTAAGGTCTATATTCTTGAAGTGAAAGACATTTTCCTACTGCGCTAAGAGGGATTCTTAATTTAGGTCATTAAACAATTGTAAGGTTATATACATTCATTTACAAGTAGGTCGTTATGTTTATGGAATTAACCAATTAGAGGGTCAAATGCAAGGGTGCCTGAGGTCAATCTTGTTGCCATTCAAGCGCCATTAAATACTGCTAACATTATATTAGTTCCATAAAATTGATATCATATACCATATGGCATGACCACACTTTTTCTATGCTCAGTAGATGGGTTACCTTAAATTTCAATTTCTTATTTTTCATTAAGTACACACATGCACGATCAAAACAACAGCTAGGATATGCGGAACAATTATCTTACCGTAACAATATTTTCCTCCTGTTTCATCCGATGATTCAATATAATACACAGTTAGTTCAACATTTTTTTGATACCGTAAAATTTCTAATAAAGCCTCCCCCCCACCCCAACCCCCGGCTTTTTTATATGGAATCTACTCATCAGTGCTGAACTCATGAGTAAATCCATAATTTTATTCAAATCCTTGAGAATCCATTTTATTTTGTAGTAAATACAAAAATGTATCATATAAAATTTAAAACTTTAACACTTTTTAACATTATTACCAAAACTTGCTAACGTATTTACAATGATTTTTGGATTTTGGAAAAAAATGAGTTGTAATAATAGCCCCCTTTTGGAAAATGTTCAGCCCTCGGGGGGCATTTTATAGGAATTTTACGGTGTTTTAATCTATACCATGTTAAATCATTTAAAAATACCACATGGACCGCTTCATGGGTTTTATAGTTTTTTTTTGTTTTTTTTTCAAATTTCAAAACCCCTAAGAAACTGAGTATGCTAAGTCATTTAGAAATACTACATGAGACCACCATGGATCTTTGTTTACGCCAATGATACCACTAGGTAGTCGTATTCAATTTGACCCTTCTGATATGAGGTCATTTGCATATTCATGAGCAGACTATGGCTATAATAAACTTGTGTTTATTTTTTTTTTAAACCAATTCATGTTAACCTTTTTGAAAATTTATGATTGAACCTTAACTTCTCATTGGCTATTCCAGTTGATCAATATATAGCACAGCTGCCATTCTAGACAAAAGAGTTGTAAACTTTTGGAAACCAGTCTTAAAACATGTGACTCTGATTGGTTAAAAAACTGTTCTAATTCAAAATCAACCAATCACAGGAACCCATTCTCAGACTGGTATTCAAGATCAAATTTTTTTATTTGCAGACTTCTATCAGCAATGTATCATTCATAAATATAACTTAATACAGTCTGATGCTCAGAAGTTTAAGGGATCAAATCCTGTTGATGATTTTCATGGATTTGGGCAAATGTTCTTAAATTGTGGCAAATTTTGCGGATTTGGGCAATTTTTTTATACTTCACTTATTTAATAAATATCTGTTTCATACACTTTGCATTAAGCATTCTTTTATTTCTTTTTTGCAGTCTTCTATTTCGTATGACTCAACTATGAATATGAAGAAATAAAAATATCAGTGAAACAACAAAGCCTTCTAGAAATAACATTTCTTTATTGCCAAAATTAACAACAGTTTTACTTAAATATCTCAAAATAAAAATTAAAAGAATTACAGTAACAAATTGCTTGTATTTTAAACATAAGTACACAAAATGTTTTATATGTATATGTATATTGCAAAAACAAAGTAAATTTGGGACATAATGTGCGCAAAAATAGTAAATTCATAATACTTGTAGATAATGTGATAAAATATGCAAAATAAATACAAACTAATGCACTTTAAAGCAAAAAAAAAAAGTCTACACGATGACCTTCAGAAAATCACATGACCTTGACCTTTGACCCTTGAATGTAACCAGGTTGTTCCAAGGAGTGCATATCTACCTATTTACCAATGATAATTAAGAATAACAAGAAAAGGAAGTCACAGATATCATCCTTAATTGCTACAAATTTCATGTTAGAAACCTTGTTCTGAAACGACTTCTTAACTTCAAGTATCTTGCAATTAAAAAACCATGGCAAACATCAGTACTGAGGCCAGGTGTCACTCAAGAACTGCAAATCTGCCTGACTTTTATAGTAGTGTTATATTCAAGGTTGTCATCTGATAAAAATCTACCACAACAAGACATACTTTTATGCTCTAATAACACCAGAAAGAGACCAAACTTTGGTGCATTAGTATAAGAAAAGAACCAGTAAAAATGGTCCCTTTTAAAATTGGTGAACCAGTCATAAAAAACTGATTTCTAGATAGTTCATTTAGAAACCTGAGATTCAAAAGTTCTTCATTTTAGACTGGTATTCAATCACTAGATTTAGAATTTTCCAAAGATTCAAATATAATTGTTTTAAATTTTATCTATAAAGGTTAAGGTCACAGGCACATAATACATGTACTGCAAACAGACATTTGCTTCTTGAAAGGTCAAAGTAAAGCATTAATTTTCTTAATGTAAGATACTAAAATATTTGTTAATATCAGTTACTCTACATCATGGGTCATTCGGAAAAAAAAAGCATTTCTACTACACAATATAAATAAATATGCTAAAGCGTTTTAAGACCTATGCTATGAAAAATATTTCAAAATCTGGATTTTTGTATATATTTATTAGTTAAAATCTGGATTTCTCTCAATTGTATAGACTAATACAGATAAAAACAAAACAAACAATATGAAAGTCTAAAGATAAAGAACTTTGCAACAGAAAAAAAAGAAGCTCATTTCCATTAAAGTGCTACAAAATATTATATATTATATAAACTTCTGTAAACTTACATTATAAATATGACATTTTTTTTTTTAGTTTACAAGAAATTGAAAATAAACTGACTTGTCTAAGATTTTCTTTACTTACTAGCAACGTTTAGTTTGACTATTAATAAAAGGTAAAAACAAATCTTAAATGACCTGTTCATATTTTGTAATTGTTAACTATGCATGCACTTCAACTTTTAAACAAAAAACATAGTCCATGACTTAACTTATTTAATGATTTGCCGACCGAATTCTCTTATGATCATCAGGGCATTAATGTGATGTCATCGCATAGTAGTATTTTTAGATTTTACGTACACATGTGTACTTCACGAACATTGTCGTTACTATGCGACGTCACATTTGCCTTGATGATCGTAAGAGAAACCGGTTGGCAAATCATGGAATAATCTCATGGACTGTGTTTGTGTTTTTTGTTTCATTTATATGTGACTTTTTTCTGGCACTTAATTTTCATTTTTTGTGTGTGTATATATATATATAAATATATTTTAACAATGAAATGATATATTCCAGATAATTATGTGGAGCTGACATTAAGCATGACTGTGCTTTTAACAATGACTTGCCATGAATTTCACATGGACAAATGTAGTTTTCAAGACCAAATATATAGATCATGCCTTTTCAATAGCAAAAAGAAAATGGACTGCTTGAAACACTCAGGAAATTATTTTGATTGTAGTTTTCAAATCCAAACAGAGATCATGCCTTTTCAATAGCAATATGAAAATGGACAGGAAATTATTTTGATTAAAACACTCAAGAAATTATTGGTCGAGAAATGATCATGACTTTAAAATAAGTTCAAAATTATTCAAATCAACTATTTCAAGCAACCAAACAAAATATCTAAGAACAAATAATAATTCTGGAAACATGTATATATATTTTTTTACCATTTTTATAAACTGAAGTTCAATGTTTTATTTTGGTTAACCAATGTCAATAATCATGCATGGTCAACTACTTAGAAGTCATGCTTTTCATATCAACAGAAGATTTTCAGGTAACGATCTATCCAAGAACCATGTCAATAAATGTTTATAATCTGTGCAAATAAATTGATATCTACAATTTGGTGGTATATTTTTGTTTGATTAAAGTCAATTTTATCCATTTTTCAATAAAGGAAAATCAAATGCATCTGTTCTATTTATAGACACTCATGCTTATTCTAAAAATAGCTCAAGAAAGATAATTGTGAAAAATAAATTTAAGCTG